CTGATAATTCGGACATTTTAGAGATTTAAAAAATACTCATTAGTTATTCCTCAGTTAACATTTTATCCCAAGGATTCAAGTATAATCCCAAACATTGTTGTTTGTATTTTACTTTCTGGACGTACTTTTAGTTTTGGCAGCAGTTGCTCTTCCAGCCGTCCAACATGTGGACTCTCTAAATTACTGAATTCCCACATTGGAGCTTTCCTACGTTTTCTTGTCCAATGTATTAAGAAGTTTGTGGCTTTTTTTTCTCGTCGTCTTAGAAAACGAAAAATATCTTTTTGCCACAGAAAACCAATTAATCATTGAACGTTTTCAGTTTTGTCTTGACTTGATTTTTATCTCCAGAATGAAAACATCCAAAGCTTATAAATAGAAAGTCTTATAATAAACGTTTCATTGTAGATTCAGTTTCTTGTCTTTAAAACTTTATTGTTTCCATAGTGACGTGAACCCAGACTCTCATATAAATTATACGAGATTCGCATGCGTCTCTTACTAATTAAAATATTTTACAAATTTAATTAACCTGTCTGTCACTCCTGTCACACTTCTAACAGCGATGTCTTTCTCTAAAGATGAGATTGATCGGCGATGCCAGAGTTTTTTTTTTTTATTAGAAAACATATGCTTAAAATCTGTCAAAATGTACGAAGGTATCATCCTCTCACACCTTTTTTTTTTTTTCCCTATGAAGTGATATATTTTCCTCTCCAGCATTTTAACTTCGGATGAACTCGACCACATTGTCATGTTTTTGTTAACTTGACTCAGACTCGTTGGTTCTCACTGATTCTGCTGCAGCTTTGTTTTATAAAAGCAGAGTGTGTGTGTGTGTGTGTGTGTGTGGTTGAAGCCAGTCTCCAGATCCTCATTACTACTCGCCTCGTTCTTTGCCAGTGGACCGGCAGCACCCAGGCATCCACCCAGCTTGTGTCTGGCCATTCAACACAAGCTGGCATCTCCCCTGTCAAACTGTCCGTACACTGTAGTGGATCTACCACAGAGGGCTGGATGATGGATGGATGGATGGTTGGATGTACAGTATATGCATATGTGCTATACTGAAACTGTATGTCTGGACATTAAGGACTTCTTAAAGCATAAATGTGTGTGAGTGTGTGCATGGGTGGATTTGCACCAAACGTGGTGGGTGTATTTCTTGGTCGGGAATCTCCAGTTGATTGAATTTTGGAGCTGATCGGTCTAAGGCCACAGTCAAGCTCAACACATTTTCCAACATATCTCTGCAAATAGTTGAGAGACAATCTAAAGCTCACATGAAGAAGTCAGACAATGACGTCACGCGTAGTTAAAAGGTGCGTTTTTCGAAGTATCTCTGCATCCTGTTGGACTAAAATCTGCAAACAGAAAGATTTGATAATCTTATTCTGATCGACCAATCACTGCGCTGAACTTGTCGCAGCGGACAGCATGACTTCTTATCTGCAAAACCAGATTGGAAGCAAAGCTTAATATTAACCATTGTGTGTAATCTAGCATTTGTGGGTTCTGCCTTGTGGCCGTTACCTCGATAACAACGAATTATAACATCTAGTGAGCGTCTTTAATGTGAGTGGAGGGAACCTACAACCTGAGGCAGTAACTGTCGTTTGCTGTGAATAAGCAAGTTTGGGACTCGGTTTCTGTGCAAATACTAAATGACATGATGCCACAAACCTGCCTGTTGTTGTGTGTTTGGTCCAATGAGGTAATCTCTGTTTGTCCACATGGTTTCTGAACCAAGAGTTGCTCTGACTCCATGTTTGCTCAGATGTGGGTGTTTGTGCCACGGAGAGCAAACAGTCTGCAGGTTTTTACCTCAAACTGTTCATCTCAGCGGGTTAGTTTCACCAGTGAGTTCCTCCTCTCTGCTCCAGGGAGCTTCCATCAGCTGATGGAGTCTGTGGATGGAGTGAAACCCTGCAGACGGTTTTTTCCACTCCTGGTCTATTTAAGATGAATTATCGGGTTGACCGAAACTCTTAAATGTGTTCAGATATGATGTACTAGGTCTTAACTTCATTTAGATACATAACTAAGTATTAGTTTCATAGAATATTTTCTTATTAGAGTTGTTTTAAGATATAGTGTGTAACGATTTTAGAGGATACGTTCAGGGACTATTCCTTCATATCTGTTGTATTTGACACACGTCACATTCAATTCATTATAATCCTAAAAGGTCATAAATGGAACTTTTTTAAACCTGCAGAAACCCTGATTAAAAGCCAAGTCCATTTCTACTCTTTGGCCAAATGTGCTCAGGCTTCGGTGCGCTGCAGTAATTGCCAAACATTTAATCTTTAAATAGCAAAGAGAGTAATTACATTAACATCCCAGCACAAGCCACCATTAGAGTTTCCTTTGTCTTAAAGCCTCGCTGGGCCTCCAGCGAATGCATTAACGTAACGACTCCTCCATCGTGATGCTCATGATGATTCTTCATCAAAATATTCTGCTGCTGCCAATATTACAACAAAACAAATCTTTTGATTCCCTCAGTGACGTTAATTCATTTTAGTCGGCAAAGTGGGCTGATATTTAATAAGGAGTAATGATTCATTGACAACAGCAGCCTGAACCTCGATTCTGAACCCCCCCCTCCCCCCCTCCTCGTCCACGTCTCCTCTGTTGTCCAAATCCTATCAAGCTGTCATTTCAAAGTCCGGTGTGATTTGGGCTTTGCCCCAGGGTGGTACACAATTAAAGCTGCGCTTGGAACAAATAAGGGACACATAAAAACTGCTGGCTCCTCCTCAAGGCTGACATCATGCCTCGTCTTTTCTCTTCCTTCAAATTTCTTTATCTCTCGCTCTCTCACTTACTGTCTGTCCCTTTCTCTCCCACCTTCTCCCTCCCTCCCTCCGTTCCATTTCTTTATGGCTTTAATTATTCAAAGACGATTCTTGCCTGGCGGCCATCCTGTTTGTTCTGTCTCATTTGGATGAGAAAACACCGGCCGCTAATTGACCAATTAGGCCGGCTCCAGATGACATCATTGTAACTTGCGGAGAAGAAAAGTTTCGCTGCAGCCGTCGAGCCAGAGGCAATGATGTGCTCCTCTGACTGTAACTGAAGTTTGCCCTCAGGTTGAACCCCCCATCCTCACTTCAGCTTAAATGTTTAAGTGTTGCTCTGCATTTAATTAACTGACGAGGCTTCACTGCAGGGAGTTATATTAGAGTGTTTAATGATTTATCATTGGCTTGTGTCCAGTATCGTCACCTCTATCTCCGTGAGTGGTGTCGTATTGTTCAGGTGGAAAGAATTAGCAGGTAGGAATTTGGAATTTTGCAAGTTTTAATACACCGGCAGTGAACTGGAGTTTGTGTGCGTGTGTCCATTAATCCAAGATAATATTCTAAACCACTGCTGCGCCCCTGCTTCTGATTGTGATCCAGCATTTAGCAGATGATAAACCTTTGGCTTCAGTGGGCAGCTGTAATTAAAATGGAAAAAAGGATTTAAGGGATATTATCTGAAATAAAATGCAGCTCTGAGCAGAGTTTGTTTTGGAGCCATACAGGATTTGAGATAAAAGGAAAAAGTCACACTTCTAACTTTCAGCTTTAATTTGAGTGTTTTTTTTGTCGGATGAATGTTGTAGGATTTGGAAACGGACCATCATCCATGACAATGACCTGACAGTTAATTTGGTTTGTTTGTTCGTCAGCAGGATTTGGCAAAAACTTTTTTTTTACTCAAAACTTGGTGGAAGGATGAAACATGGGCCAAGAAAGACTCCAAAAAATGTTGGTGTGAATCCAAAAGATGGCGATAGGTCAATTTCTTTTCTTTCTCTTCCCTTAAAATAGTTATTTTGACATTCACCCATTTCCCAGGGAATAATTCATGGACCTTGAAGAAGAAATCAGGCACAGTTAGAGGACTGACTTTTGCGTTTGGGCTTGGACTGGATAAATGCCAGATTTTCACGTGTGTTCTCTCGTCTTAGATCCACATCTACAGCCTGGAGACGGGCAAACCCGCCGGGTGTGTCGGTGGCTCGCCGGGAGACTTCACCTGCATCAACCTGAGGGACTCCGCTCCTCACCTGCTGGTGTGCGGAAACAAGGACAGGAGGTAAGACGCATTCAGACACAGATGGACGAAACACTTCGATCGTGCGTACGGGCTGAATCTCCCAATAACGATAATACACATCACAAATGGCTGAATCTGAGCCAGGAACTTTAGCTGTTATTAGTTTTCTCACAGTCACACCTGAAGCGGGAAGCTGAGGCTACTTGCAGCGGAAAACAGGTGTTTGGAAAATGTGTGAGAAGTAAAAGCTCTTGTGCATTATTCACACGTCTCAGTCTGCGTTGCCTTGGAAAATAAAAAAGCATTGAATAGCTCAGTGTAGAAGAAAGAGAAGAGGTATTGAAATACTCAGATGTGCAGCTTCTGCTCTTCAATAGAAATGTTGCCTTTGTTACCTGGAATGCTTTAGAAGAAGAAAATCTGTCCATCTTGATTTCATCCGACAACACACAAATCCACGCGTGTGTGCACACACTTGCCACATCGCTAACCTGCCTCTCCAGATGAGGAGAAAACGCATAAAGGACCCATTCTCATCTATTCTGCCCTTGTTAGCGGGAGCGGCAGTGCATGAGCTGGCAGGAAAGGAAAAATCCCTGGCACGTCCTCGACCAAAGCCGCCCCCGCTGTGTCTATTCAACACCGAATCCATCTGGCTGTTAAGTAGTTGGCGTAAAGCGAAAGACAGACCACATTATTTTGTTTAGTTTCTGTTGTTTTTCTTCTCTTTTTACTGAGCAACCGTGCACAGACACAAACACGCTTGGTTAAAGATGCTCTATGATGCCAAAAGGAAATGTTTGACATTGTTTATATTCTAGAAGAAATAATTGAACGGCAGCATTTGAATGAAGAATTCAAATGGTTGTTTTTTGGCCAGAGCGTCAGATGAGTCTTTATCCAACTGCTTTGTGTTTTTTTTTGTTGTTGGTTTCTTTCTGAGAGATGTGTAGCTTTGTTCAGAGTTACACACACACACACACACACACACACACACACACACACACACACACACACACACACACACACACACACACACACGCACACACACACCCCCCAGCTTGGCTCTTCCACTTTGGCCCCGGCTGATGCAGAGCACAGTCGAGGACAAATGGAAATCGGTGATACTGAGGGACAGTGGGCGATCTTGGCCCTCCAACACTGTGGCTTCAGGCCAAAGCCTAATACATCCTTTCTTTTGGTCCAAATGAGTTTTGTCCCTCTGTTGTTTTTTTGTTGTTGAGCTCCTGGGAGCGAAGGATGGATCCTGGTAACGTCTGGAACGAGGCCAGAGCTGCACGGACAGGAAAGATAAGGGCAAAGAGCGAGGTTGGATTCAAATAGGAGAGAGGGGGAAATGAGTAAGTGTATAATACCTGTGGCTATCGCTCACTTATCATAATGCAGGACTGCACTTCTTGTCCAGTCCAGCTGTGGGACCAGTTTCCTCACATCTTCGACTTGTCTCCAATGTGATGCTGGCGGCTCGACTATGGAAGGTCTGTCCCGCACGTTGGTCCAGACTGTTTTGTTTTTCCTTTAGTGCCCTCAAGGGTCAACAGTTTAATTTGTCCACTTCTGTCTTCGATTCAAGTGTTTGGAGTTTTTTGTTTTTTTTTCTAGAGCTTGACTGATTTATTGGCCAACACTACATTCGTCAAAACAACTACGTGGTTCAGGGTCAAAATGCCACGACATCCTTGTCCTGGCTGAAAGCTGCAGGCACAAGAATGTGAATGCAGAAGTAAGCATCCAGATGTTGATGTGTCAGATAGATTTCAATCTTCAGTATTGTCAGTCGGGCTGAAATTCTGTCATTGAATTCGGTTTATTTGGTTCATTCCTTGGTCTTGTCCAGATTGTAGATTGCAGGATAGAAGTTGATGAAACCTGAAGCAGTTTAGTGTCATTGTGCGTTTCAACATGTGTAATAATTTTGCACCACAGTTTTGCATCAAAGATCCACCCTGTCCGATCTTATGCCTCCAATCCTTTGAGGGTCGGGGGCTGGAGCCAATCCCAGCTGACATTGCGCGAGAGGCGGGTACGTCCTGGACAGACTGCCGGTCTATTACGACGTAGAGGGACGAAACAACGATTCTCAAACACAATCCTCCGTGTATTATCGTAAACCTCTCGTCCGTCTGTAGAAAACAGTTCAGGAGTTAGACGAGCATCTTCCACTCTGCTATTATTACACAGATCTCCTGATTAATGAAGAGGAGTCTGGCCACTGACAGCTCACCGATGACCGAGTCGCCTCCAGATTTACGGTTCCCTGCGGTCTGCCAGAAATGTCCGGTCCTCATTGTTGAAATGTGCTCCTCCATCACGTAAAGCCACTAAGCACAAAAAACCAACAAGTCCCATTTAGCCATTTAACTCTGATTCTTGTTTTTTTTTTTTTTTTAATTGGAGGCGGAAATGAAATCTGTCCCCGGAGTGAATTGGATTATGGTAATGAGGTCTTGGAAGAGGGTTGAGCCTGGATAGAGTCATGTCCTGGATCCTCTCTGCTGCAATAAAGCCACAGTGACAACAGATGGAGCTCAAGCTCCCCTGGGCTCGTGTTGCTCATGAAACCCAACAAGAAGAGAAATCTCCCTCTAACACAATTACTAATTACTCAATAACTGAAAGGAGGAAAGTAATCAGAGTAATTATAGAATAGCATCTAACACAAGTGTTTCATGTCAAGATGAAAAACAAATATCTCAATCAGAATATTTACTAGAATACGAAACATCGGTAATTCAACTCAGAAGAAAGATAGACGAATATTTGAACAAGTTTCTCGTGTTTTTTGTAAACTTAGCTCAGAGAAATGATGCGTTTCTTCGGATCAGTCAGTAAATAGTGCAGGAACTAAAGTCTACAGTGAAACATCTGCTTCAGCCTTTATTTGTCTTTGGTCCCTCAACTGGATTCTTGAAAAGTTCTCATGCTTGCTTCCTTCTAAAATAAGAATAGTGTCCTTTTGTCTGTAAATGAATGCACTCTTTGACAAACTGTTCCCTCTTGTGCACTCTCGGTATGAGATCTCCGCCTCTGTTGGCAGGAAGTAAAATCCAAAATGACCACGCTCCACTGGAGATGACTGATACTATTGTCCTCACTTTGATTATTATGCATTTGTTGTCTTCACTCTGAAAACCACTTCGTGTAAAATCATCATGTGTCATCACAAAGCTGCGCCTGACAACACCTAGAACACAAACATCTTGTGACCAGACTTATAGAAATCATACGGTGAAAATAAGAACCACACGTGTTGTTCCGCGCTGTCTTTCAGGGTGAGGGTCTTTGACCTGCGGGCCGGCTCCTCCGTGGCGTCCCTGTACGCTCACCACTTGGGCGTGACGTCGGTGCAGGCGGACGACTGGAAGATCGTGAGCGGCGGAGGCGAGGGATTGGTGTGTGTGTGGGAGCTGAGGATGGGAGCGAAGCTGTGGGAGATGCACAACAGGTGAGAGAACAGAAAAGATGTCTGCGTGCAGTTAGACAGATTTCACAGATCTGATTCTGTAACTGCTTCTCTGTTTCTTTCTTATTGTCTCAGGTGAATGATGATGTTTATTTTATGGCATCGCAGCGATTCATGTTATGAAACGCAGCTTGCATGTCGGTCACATTTGGAAAACTATTTCCTACCACAACCACATGATCCTGAAGGAAAAATTGAAAATGTGAATTTATTGTTTGAACTTTTTATTCACTCTTCGATGTTTCACTTTAAAAATCATATTTGCTTTTAGGGCAAAGCAGTGATGTGATGGATGTGTCGTGTACTGAAGCTGTTGTTTTGCACCTCGCAGGCATCCTGTCAGACATGTGCGCTTCAACACCAGCACCCTGGTAACAGCCAACATCCCAGACGACAAGTCGCCGCGAGGGGCCTGCATCACCGACGATGACCTCACAGCTCACCGCAGGTCGCTCATCTCACTCCCACACTTCTTCTTCTTCTTATTCTTTTTTTAGTCTTGATCTCTTCTCTACATCCACCTCGCAACTCCCACAGGATGATAAAAACTCCTTGATTTAGACATTCAGTCAGTGAATCAAGTGTTTCTCTGAACCACAGGTTCACAAAACAGAGAGAAAACTGCATATTTTAGCATAAAGACCAGAAACGGGTCGAGGGAATTAAATCCACCCACCAGCAGCTCACTGTTATCTCTTGTTTATTTCACATTTGCAAAACTTTACACGTTGTTTCTTCTATTGAAGAAATGTTTTTCGATTAGTGAGCTTTAGAGTTTAGTGAGCTTTCCTCTAGTTTGCTTGATTGTAAAAGTTCTGCAAAGTTAAAAAGCTCAGAGTCTGTGCTATAAGGAGCTCCCCTCCCCCACAGAAAACTCTGAAGCTCCCGAAACACCTCGTCAGTCATTCATCTGATACTTCAGCATCATTGTGATGTCACGTGAAATCACAATACCCCATAATATTCACCTAGCACCTCGTCTGTGGACAGTTTAAGGAAAGTTTCCTGAAACATTAGATCATGAAAACCTTAAAGTCATGAAGCGTCCACTTTGAAAAGTGAAATGAGGTGTTGATGTTTTTCGTTTCTTCTATGGTTTAGACACCGGGGAGTCATCTGCCACTACGACTTCTCCGAGGACGCGCTGTCTCAGGATCACATCCTGCCCATCTGCAGGTCCGACTACAAAGAATCCTACGGCTACAACTACAACATCGGTCTGACGGTTCCTTACGACCGACTGTCCGGCTCCCATCCATCACACTGACACGCATTTGATCGTTATGGTCAAATCAAGCTTTGTAATATTTGCTAATATGTTTATTATCGGAAATGTTTGCTTTACATTGCAGAGTTCAGATGCTGCACACGATCACAACCTTTTAAATCATTACTGTAAAATTTAATATTTTTTAAATGAAGTCTAGCTCCCTGGATTTTTAATCAATGTCGCTGTGCAACATAAATAAAAAAAAGTTATATTTCTACCTCATTTTGGTTCAATAATTTTTTTTAACAAAAACCTCTCACACATGCATTTATTTTATCGTAAATTTATTAAACGTATTCAGTAGTAATTCATCTGAGATCACGATAAGTGTTACAGCGATTCAGAGGAACAGATAAAGTCAACGTCAAACTACTCTGGAGCTGCAGAGGAATGATTTGTTGTCTGCATCTCACGTTTTGGATGTTCGCCAAAACAGACGGAAACCAGAGCGGCCGCTGGGCACAGCTGAGAAGAATCCTTCACTGACATTCTAGTCACACATTTATAGAACAGCAGGAGAACACAGAGAGGTAGTGCGTTAGTGTGAAATCTGATAGAAGTGAAGTGAAGCGTGAAAAAAAGAAATGAAAATCATGTTTAGTTTTTTTAAATATGTGACAGGAGCAGAATGTTCGGAGGGTCGGGGTTAATTGTGAGCTGGGGAAGCAAAATGTCCTTTTGATTTTTAAAACATTTCCATCTTGTCAAACTGCATCAGCATGAGACCAGACATTCTTTCATATAATCACCATAAAAAAACAGTCTGATTATTTTCTCACCGTCCAAAAATATATCAAAAAGTATTCGGCTTCATTCCGTTTAAGGAGATTCTGCAAAAAACAGCAGCAACATTAATATTTGTCTTTTCGAGAGCGACTCCTTCAAGACTTTGATTTCCCACAACGCATTGTTGTGGTGTCTACATCCAGAAATCGAATGTGCATCCTGGACTCCATCTCAAGGCCTTTTAGAATCTGAGGGGAGACGAGGGAGAAACTTTTATAAGTAAGTGACAAATTAAGTTTAGTTTCACAAGCTGGAAGATAAAAACGAGGAAAAGTGCAAACCTGTTCGAAATGCTCAAATGTAATTCCTTCATAAAACTCGTCCGGGGCCTGAAATGATAAAAAAGATGAAAATTGATGATATTTGACAGTGAGAATTAATTAAAACGTGCAGTTCTGGTTTAGTTCACGTACCATGTGCGGCACGTTTGTGCTCGCCACCTCCAACATGGCGGCATCTGCTATCGCCTTGGCGGCCTCCAGCCCGATGTCTCCGCTCTTCGACAGAAGCTCCTCGACGACCTCGGATTAAAACATCAACAATATATTTTTGCACTTTAACCATAAACTTTATGATAAAAAAAAGGAAAAACAAATCTATAAAACTTGAATTAAGAAAATCAACAAGCTTTTTTCTATGTAAACATTTTTGCTTATATATCTATAAAGGCTCAATGACATCAAGACGCAAGAACAAAATTAAAATCTCGTTAAACTGAAAAGACGTGTTCACGTTTCACAATTTAATTCAGATAATATTTCATCACTGAGGTTCAGAAAACTATTTAATTAAATCGTCGTGAAAATAAAAGTAATTTTTATGTTTTATTTATTCTCTTTTCATCATTTTTATTAAAAAAAAAGAAAATAATTTTTTTTCTGAGTAATTCATTTTTTTCCACTTTTTCTGACAAATTTTTTTTTGTCTGTTTTTGGGAATTATTTTTTTTCTGAATTATCGAGATACTTCGAACTCCCGCGAGAACCTCCAACCTGCAAGTGACTCCCATGGATCTATGGTGACTCCTCCATACATGCCACATCTCAGCAGTTCTGAATGAGCTCTCCTTCTGAATGAGTCCTCAGGTGTCTGTAGAGTCGACAAACTCATGATAACAGATCTATATGACTTAAAGACAGGACGATCTCCCAGTGTCGTAAACCCAGATCAAAGTAAAACTTGATTAAACTACACAAGCCAGTCATGTTTGTTTCATCACATCGAGCTCTCGATAAAGGAATGAATGTGTCTATTGTTTCAAATGCTCTCTGAACTCAGAAAAAAAAATTAGTCCGAAAAACAGAAGAAAAAAAATAAATTGTCAGAAAAACAGAAAATAAAATTACTCAGAAAAACCAGATTTCTTTTTTTTTTTTCCAAGTGAATCCAATACACTTCCATATTTGTATTATTGTTTTAACATCTTTTATTGTCTTCATATGTTGTTGCAAAGTTTCTCTTGTGTTTTTAAAATTAAGCCGATTACACAAAGCAAATGTTTCAACTAAACTTTGACATATTTCTTCACTAACTTACTTAAATGAGATTCTCCTTTGAAATACTTCTGAGATTTTTTTAAGACAGTATTTCTTGTGTTATTTCGAGTCTGCACAAAAAGTGGGACGAGAACATGAGATTTTAATTTAACTGCCACTACGCCAGCTCACCTTTATGCATGTCTAAATATACAGTAATTTTAATTTAGTCATCTTATAATTGTATTTAATTTGCAAACTGGCTACTAGAATAACCAGAACAGCAACACGGCACCTTACGAATCCACCCACACAAATATTTGCCTCACTTCTCTAATAACACCTGTTCACAGGGCGTGGACACACGGCTCGCTTCGCTGTGTTACACATTTGTTGATCTGCTGCTTCGGGACAACTCGTGGCTTATAATTATGAAAAAACATTTTTGTCCAGAACAGCTCCACCTCAGCCTTAACTATGTAATCGGCTAAAAAAAAAAACCTGCAAACGCAAAACTCCTTTAAAATGTTTTTCTAAAAAAACACTCAGAAACAAAACAAACAGACAGAGCACAAACAAAACCAAGCTGCCGCAGATCATCTCCGGGAAACTCTTCCCCTGCAGCACGTTTCTGTGTCTGTTTGTGTTGCGTGTATTTGCGTTTGTTTCTTAAGCTGCCGTGCGTTGACCTGCACGTTGAAGGATGCATTAGAAAATGATTTCTTAATCTATAAACCAAAGGTTGAGTCCAGGATGAAGAGAAACCTGGTCAAATGCGTTCTAGAACAATGCCTGACATCATTTTCTCACTTATCATATAATGAATTTAAGTTTTTTGTTCTATTATTTGCAGGGATATCTTGAATATTTAGGTTTTTATCCATATTTGTGTTGACTTTCACTTATCAGCTGCAAAAACGTGAATCCTCTGGAGACACTTGACCAATTTATATTCTCACTAAGTTTGGTGAAAATCTCTTCATTCATTGTTGAGTTCATTTGTCCACACACACACACACACACACACACACACACACACTGACACGGCTCGAGAACAGCTCCATGCTCACACAGCTTCACCAGCACGCTGGGTATCTGGACTCATTAACCTCAGTCAAAGCGTTTTTAAAGTCGTCTTACCTTCCTGTACTCCTCCAGAGTGATGGTGCCGTCGTTGTCTGTGTCATGCATGTTGAACAGAACTGGGAAGACAAACGGAAAAACGATTTAGTTCACGGTCTGAAAGGAAACTTCCATCGTCAAATCACAGGATCTGAGATAACTGTGATTGGGGGGACGTTTCTGAAGATGCACAGATAAACGACGTAAACAATCACATGAAAGAAGCAGCTTCAATTGACATTTACAAGATTCAGGCCTGTGACAATACTTCATTTCTTATATAACGAAAATATTGTTTCCTGAGGCGACGTCTGATGACATTTTCTGCGTTTCTCCATCAAATGTTCATCTCAATGTCAAATGAGCTCATCATGAAAAGCAGAGAGAGCTTCGTCTTTCTTTGCATGATGAAAATGTTTGATTATGAAAAACGCAGAAAACGGAGACCACATGTTTTTGTTGTGTGCCACAGCTTTTTCATGCAGAGATATTTCTTTTCTTTTTCTTTTCTTTTTTCCATTTTTGCTTCTGTCGCTCGTTAGAATGTTCTCACATGCCTCCGGAGAATGTCCACAGGTTCTCCAGACTTCAGTGCACGTCTGACAGCAGCTTTAGTGGCCGTGACGGTGAAGGTTGAATCGAAAACCTTTTTATTTTGGGTTTTTTTTTTTATGCAAGAGGAAACTGAACCAACAGTGTGACCACCTTGTTTCATACCAGGGGGAAAAAAGCATGACGAAGAAAAAAAAAGTCAAATCACACAAAGGAAGTTGAGGAGAAACAGATTTCACTACGATGACTCCTGGCAGAGGTGACAAAAAAAAAATAGTCTGAGGTCATAAAAGATATCTTGGAACAGAATCAACTCGCTCTGGCCTCGTGCCCGGCCGAGCTGTGAATACCTACGAGCCTCTCCAGTGAGATACCCATCGTGCAGCGAGGAAACCTGTGCCCACACATGCAGCTATGAACGGCCACACTCTTCGTGGCATGTCGGCCCTGACTGAAATAAGAGATCCACATCGCTGGTTTGCACTTTTTTGTTCTCAGTATTCAGAAACTGAGTCACGCATGAAGGGTCCGAGACAGCTGCACTCACTGTTATTAAAAACAGAGGGAAGTCACTTACAGCGAAGCTTCTCCTTTCTCATGGCTTCCTTCTCCTCCTCCGTCGTCTTCAGGGTCGGAGGGCGGAAATGCGACATGACCATGAGGAACTGCTCGAAGCCAATCTCCTCCAAGGAGCCCACCTCGCTCTCATGCTGGTTCCTGGTCACAGAAGGAAGAAATCAAAGTTTAAAACATACATTTTGGAAAAATGTGAAACCTCCACTTCAGAGGTTACGTTTCCATCTGCGTTTGTTTGTCTAGTTGTCAAAAACTACCCAAACAACGTGGAGGGGTCGGACGTGACTCAAGGATGAACCCATGACATTTTAGGGCAGATCCTTTGAGACGTTTTTCAACGAATCAATCAAATCAAAAATCTGGATCTAGTGAATTTAAATGTGGTGTCAGAAGGAGACACCGAATGGGGAAGAAGAACCAGTAGGATATTGAAACACACAGTGAACGTTGGTAATGCACCTTGACCTTGGTTGCCGCCCGCCAATAAGCTAAACGGGATAAAGGAAGAACAAGAAAAGGAAGAAGACTTTCTAGCTTGTTTGTTGATTTATTTGTTGCCAGAATTACATAAAATCTACTGAACTGATAGTCACAGCTTGGTGGAGGGATGGGGCCGGGGGCAGAACTAATTACATTTTGGGGCAAACACTGATGAAAGGGCAGTTTGAGGACTTTTTTTCCCTTTTATTAATATTAAACATTTAACAAAGGGTATTTTAAATGATCATTTTGTTGATTTTTCAGGGAATTATGCAATGATCTTTATTTTTCACTGTTTCAGATGAATAAATAAAAACTTTCTTTTATATTTCTACTATGAGAACTAGACGATCGTGTGCGGTTGTTTCTATCGTTTGATTCTGTGGTTTCCACTTTTCTAAAAACTGAACCAAAAGAAAAGATAAAAATTTGTATACTCAACAGTCTGTCTTGTTCACTTTGTCTTTCCAAAGCATGAGGAACTGCTGGATTTAAAATGTCAAACAAGTGTCTGTGCAGAGGAACAAAACCCTCGTGTTGTTTCCTTTGGTTAATGGATGATTTACTCGTTCTGTTTTCACCAACGTCTCCACGGTTCTTTGAGAAGGAGACTGAAACCAACATTGTCGGCCACCCCGGCACATTAAAGGTATTTTCCACTGAGCCGTGTTTGACGTTAATAAACTAAACAAAGTGAAATAAAGCACTAAACATTCTAGAGCTTGATTAAACCGTTGTAAACATCAAACCCAGTAAAGCTGAGTCCCTGCAGATAATCAGCGGGTGGAGATCAAGTCTATAAAGGAATAGAACCACTCCTCCGTCCATCTTATCACAAAGATTAGGAGAAGTGGTAAAAGACAAACCAAGAAACAGCTCATGTTCCTCCAGTGTTAATGCTACAAACTGTGGCGTCAATATTCTAATCTCAGGCTCAAGACTATTACTTCAGATGTCAAACTATTATATATAAAGTTCACAGTCCAGGAATCACAAACTTTTACAGGTTGTATTTAAGAACCAGGAAGAAATTCCTGCATCGGCTGGTGTAAGTGTTCAGTATTTACTATAGAGGCTTAGAGATCAAGTCTTTTATATCAGACTTTTATTCTTTATCTTAATGTTGTTTTCATCCTTGTTTGAAGCATTTTGCCAGTTTATCGAGAGAATTGCTTCACAAATAAAGTTTATTTGGCTGCATTTGTTTCTTAGTTTGTATGATTATGAAGAGATTTAGCCTAATCTAACCAATTTCCAAGAGATTTTGTGCAGGGGTGGGACGTGACCCAAGTAAGAATCAAATAACTTTGGCGCAGATCCAGGAATTAATTTTTTCATTTGTGTGCAATTTGGTGCCAATGCAAATAAAAACCAGGATTTCGTGAATTTAAATTTGGTTTCATAAAGGGACTCTTATTTTATTTGTTTTTTACATCTTTATATTTCGAAAACCTAAATATGGAATTAGTCCTAACGTTTGCATACAGCTGTTTTATAGGGTGTTGAGTTAAAAGTATTTTATTCAAGACAATGATAATAATATTAACTTAGGACAAGAGTGTGCTATAAATTGACGTTACCCACCTTTTATCGAAGAATGCGTTGATTATTTCCTTTTTGATTGGATTGTTGGCGAGGTCCGGTATGCTGTCCAAGTTTTCTCTACTGCAGTGCGACAAGAGAAGATCCATTATCATAAAACAGACACTGCAGAACAGAGGCAGCGTGTTCCTGCACTTTTAAATAATACTGAATGTTGTTAATGGGAAGTAACAGGATCTCAGTCTGAAGGTAAACTGTCAGGAGAGACATCCCTGGCGAACGCAACATGTGCACTGGTTCCTTTTAAAGGGAAGGGAGTGATTTATTACTACACTAGTGTGTGTGTGTGTGTGTGTGTGTGTGTGTGTGTACAGTACATGTCCGCTCTGTGTGGCTGATACATCCACATATTGTATTTGTCCAGTGTGCCTATGTTTACATTGGTGCAGCCTGCGTGTTTTCACCGTGTGTTGATTGTTTGCGTCACTGCCAGATACCAGAAATACCCACAATTCATCACCACGGCCACGCAGGTAGTATTTCATCCTTTGTGACCGAGGCCAAATAGTTTCCATCAGACACCCGAGCAGCTGACCAGGGGCAGGTTTGTTTTACCTTATTGTCTCTTCGTTCCCGCTCAGCTGCAGGAAGCGTTTCTGGAGGTTTTTGATCTGCTCCCCTGAAACTGACAAGAAACACAAACAGCATGAACGAGTGACAGTGACTCAGCCATTACTCCACAGCAATCACATGCAATCGAACAGAAATAGACAAAGGATCTAATCTTCTTGTTGCAGTGTGTACATATATTTATATAGGAGGGGTAACATGCTGGATTCGATCCCGGGCCGCTGCGTTCAGGTGCAGCTCCTCTATCACTCTAATGACAAAGCAAACACACTGTGCAGCACTGAGATACCTTTTCAAAGGGGTTCCCTGAATCATTAACTCACTGAGCGGACCAGCGGCCGCACACTGAAACACTTAAACATCACGATCTGGCTCGGACCCATCACATATCACGACAGGTTGGCCATTTTCAATTGTTTCTGTAAACACTTTTTACAGAAGCCATTAAATAGATGTTTGCAGTAGCAAGTGTAGCTGCTGAGTGCTGGGTGAAGAACGTGCACTTAGACAGATTGCAGCTTCATGCAGAAACAAGTCTGCAGGGAGGAGCGGGTGGTGCCACTATTACATGTGCAAAGATCAAGAGATACAGGGAGATCTCAATTAAGCGCACAACCAGTTCAGCAAATACAAAAACAATGACGAATCTGTGGTCGGAGCAACAAGCGTGTGCCTGTCAGTTCCAATGAGACTCATTTCCTCATGTTGTGTTCTTAAGCTTCTAATGTTTGGTTTTATGTTTAAGCAGCTAAGATACATTTGATCCATGAAAATTTAAATTTTTATAAGATTTTATTATGATTATTATTATCACTATCTAGCAACTGATTCCATATATCGTGCAAACCGTTCATCTAATCGGCTTCACGCTTGAATGTGTTTTATAGATGTATTATATTATAGATGAGGAAGTGAGGTGCTGAGTTTGGTGCGACAAACAAACCGGGTAGGATGAACGCAAAGTTTTCTAACTTCACTCTGGACCACAGACTGTTTATAAAAAAAACTCTGCACACAAAGAATAAAAAGTTACAGAGTGTTTTGATAGGAATAATTCTGAGGAAGATCCAGAGCATCAACACGAGAACAAGGTTTGGAACGGGCACTGTTCTAGTTATCATCAAAGCGGAGAGAATGTAGAATCGACATAGATGTTTATCTCCTTGATATTCATCTCCTACACTGAGTCCAGAGAGAAACAGGGTCAAAGCTCCACCTCGAGGAAACTAAAGCAATAAAGAAAGGTTCAAAGTCTCAAACGTTCTGTTTCATAAAGTTGGGATCAGTCTGGGATCCAAACTTCATCTCTGAGTTTCACTCTTCGTGCCACTGAATCAAGATCCAGCAGAAAGATCTTCACACTCTCCTGTTTGTATTTGTTGTTCTTCGGCTCATTCAACGTTTCCAATCAATGAATCTTAATCCATAAATAAGTTCAGTGTCTGTTAACTGATCAATGAAGCTGCAGGTGAAAAACTAAAAAAGAAAGTAAAACATACAGTTATTTAACTCACGTGATTGATTGTGCGTTTTATTTAAGAAATCACTTTATGTGTTTACTGATCATTATCTAAATGTTAAACTCGTAAAGAAACTCGGATCACGTGCTGGTGCCATGATCAGGTTTCCCCATGTCTCGTCAAACGTGTTCATTTCCTTGACGAACCCAGTTTTGTCTGTCACCAGACTTTTACGCGTGGAAACACACACAGTGAGCGAGTTTAAAAACTAATACGTGGTGCGTCACTCGTGGGTTTTCACCTACTTACATCCAGTTTTGTCCATCAGGTCCTGGAACTCGTTGGCCTCAGTGCGCGTCTGTGAAGCTCCCATCCTCGCTGCTCCGCCGGCGCGTCAGGACGCACAACAAATCCGGATCGACTGGCTCAACTTTCCTCTGCAGCTGCCGCTTTATCGCGCAGCTATCGGCGGGACAGTGGAACTGAAGTCTGCCGCTCCTGGAAAACATCTGGCGTCCTCCAGGTCCTAAATCCACACAGCCTCTGGATACATGTCCTGAGTGGATTCCACTCACTGCTGCAGAACATCCTGGTTTATTATGCATTTGAGTAAAGAGTAATATTTATTCCAGCTCAGTGAAACAAACCAGAGGAGATAGTAAAACTTGAAATGCTTTATTTGTTCTCTCATTTCCTCAAAGCTCTTATTCTAAGTCAGTAGAGTCTATATTGGTTCCTCTTTTGTTTTTCCATGAGCGGCTCGCACTGCAGAGTTGAGCCGAGACACAAAGCCTATTACTTGTTAATATACAGGAGAAAAGAAAAACTTTACTCTTGAAATGAGAAAGTTAAACTCTCGTAAGTGCATGGAACTGGATTAGAAGACAGGGAATAAAAAGTAAAAGTCAATTTACAAAGTATTTTCATGGTAAATATTTTCTGTGGCACTGTAACTGGTGGGTTTAGGCTCTGCACTGGGGGCTTGTTTGACTGGTGCTGGGTGCAGGGAGGAGGAGGAGAAGGATGGGGGGGGGGTCTGGAGGAGCTCTCTGGGTGAAGGTGCATTCCTTGGTTTTTAGGTAAAGAGAGATTTACAGCACCTGGACACCCCATCCTGAATTCACACGTCCACTTAGGTGTTAACGTCAAACCTTTTATCCGTCAAGCTGTCGGCTGATGTCAGTTTTCATACTTTATCCAAACTCAAGCTTGTGACCGGATTTTAAGATATTGAAGTTTTTGGGGTTTGTGGGAAATGGAACTCGATAACGAAGCTTTGTTTTAACAACAAATGTACTGAGGTTTTTTTGAGATGTGTATTGAAGCAGAAATATTAACAATATTTAACAATGACTTTCCAGACTTTTTTGATCTTATCCAGATTTGGAGACGTTGAAAATATCTTTCCAATCGTAAACAGTCTTGTGATACAGAACCACATTTATGAATCGTTTCCATGTCTATCACATACTGTATGCTCTTTTCTTGAGTCTGTGCAATTGAGCAACATCTAAATGGACAGTAAATTGAGCCCGGGGGACCAGTGATTGCTCAGCCTGGGTCAGCATGATGCTTTGCTACTTGGACATGGCTTGGTGGTTGTTTTGGTCTGAGGCGGCAGCAGCAGCAGCAGCCTGCTCTTGGTTCCCAGAGCCAGGCGTCAGTCTGTGGTAGAGCTCCTGCACCGAGCCCAGGGTTTCACTCATGTCCTCCGGGTATCGTGTCTGCAGCTCCTCGTTGGCAACGTAGTGGGTGTCGGCGAACTCTGAGAAATAGCGTCCCACCTCCGGGTGGCCGATCTCCAGGGGGGCTGAGTGGGGCTCCAGGTTTTCTGAAGACGGAGAACAGAGAGATCATATATACTGAATTGAGGTAACCTAGATTTGTGGATGAATGAACAAACTGTGACTTAAACACATCAAAAACTAGGTTAAACTGACATTTCGACACATTTTTATCAAAAATGAATTTTGGCTTCATATCCTGAGGTTATTTCCACTTCCTGTGAGGAAGACTGAGCAGCAAAGAATCGATCAATACAAATCCCCCCTCAGGGTCTGTGGAGAACAAAGCCTGCAGGTGAATGTTGAAGTGGTGTCGAGAGCAAAGATAACAGGAACAAACAAGGGAAGCTGTGTAAGAGCAGAATCAGCAGAGTGAGCAGGTGAGCCCAGGGGAATACTCAGCGTGGTATCAGCACATCCTCTGCTCAGTGGGGCGAAACTAGAAGTCACAGATGAGGACGATGCAGCACGACTGAGGAGTTTCAACATACACAGCACGAACTTCACTCATTATTATTATCAATGTGATATTATAAAGCATTAAAGTTAGTTGTAAGTTCAAAAAGCTGAAAAATCAAATAACCACTAAAGACTATAGATTTTTGTGAGCTGATATCAATACCGCTGATGTATATATATTAAAAAAATAATTGCAATTTTTCCTAAAAGGTCTTTATAAAACCCTTTTTCATTTTATTGTTAACTAAAACATAAACCTAAATACAACCAAATAAAAAGAGCCAGAATTTAGAAAATAAACATTAATGTGCATCTTTTAAACAATTTTATGCCGTAAAATACAATTTAATTTGTCCATAGATGTATGATATGTTTGTGTGTTATATTTTTTACAATTCATGCGAAAAGAAATTAAATATGCCAAATATTTTATATAAGGATTTCCTGCACTGATAGCTGAATGCATATAATCCATTTACCCTGCGCTGCGTAGCGGCATGTTCCGTCCTGTACGAGGACATTGTAGAAAGGCTGGTTGGCCCCGCTGGACAGCTGGTGGACCCTCATGGTCGTGATCCACTCCTGACTCATGGTGCATTTGGGGTCCCAGCCGTAAATCACACAGTTATAACCTGACCTGGTGGAGGAGGTGGGAAAGAAGCGTGAATGATCCAATATATAAAAAAGACCACAGAGAGGAGGAACATCGCTGATCCACATGTTAATCTGACCCCACCTCTTGTGTTTCATGATCAGGCCGACTGAATACTGGACCTCCAGGTGCTCCGGAGCGCTGCGCCTCTTCACCTCAGGGGTCACAGGGTGTTTCTTGTGCTGGATGTGCTCCAGCGTGTGTTGCACCAGGTAACCCACGGCCCCGTGCTGGGAGGGATCCAACGCCTGGATGTGCTGCAGGATGTCGAGCACCTGGGATGAAGGACAAACATTAATGGACTGTGATTATCTGTGTGACTACTTCACAAGAGCAGGATAATTCGATTTATTGACAGAAAGACACAATAATACACTTTAATAAGTCTGTCACAGTGAAAATCAGATTTCAGGTTGTGTGTTGTGACCTTTTCTGGCCAGATGCCCAGGTGGAAGTAGAGACGCGCCTGCAGCAGCAGGTACTGCACGTTGTCTGGGTTGATAGTGAGGTAGAGGTCCAGAGAGTCTCTCAGCAGCTGGTAGGATTTCTCATTGCCCTCGCTGAAAGAAAACAACACAGTGCAGGTGACGTTATTTGACTTTGCTTTGATTTATTAATAGCAGCCAATTAAATGCATACTAATTATAAATTCAGTTTTAAAGCGATTTCTCTCTAGCCTTGACAGATGAAAGGATAAAGATCAAATAGATTTAGTTGAGGAATAAGTTGTTCTTGTGTTTCCATGTTATTCAAGACAGAAAAATTGAACATCATCATCTCGCTCATGTCTCCAGGGCAGGAGTTTCAGAAGTCAGCTGTTCGGTTTCTCTTACCCTCTCTTGCCGATGTTGAGCAGGTTTCCCACCATCCTGAGCAGCACCTCTGTGGTGCTGATGGCACTGTAGTAATCTGCCGTCACCTGGTGGCCGATGAGGTACTCGCACTCCTTGGCTGTCAACTGCTTGCCTTTACCAAAGGCATCGATGTAGACAAAGTCATAGATGTCCTCACTCCTGCGGGAGTAAAGTGTAATAAATGTGAAGATGTGTTTTCCGGAGCTCAACAGGTCCAATCACCGGCTGAAATGATAAAAGAACTATTAAAGTCAAACTGTACCCTCTTGGTTTTTGGCACCAGCGCAGCAAGAAGTGATTTGGAAAGTTCACGGGTTCCACCTGAACGCCCAACTTCCGGGAGAGCGTCATGTAGAGAACAGAGAGGCTTATGGGGATGCCTGTGTGGCGTACTAGCACCTGAGTTTAACCCAAGAAGGTGAAGTCAGTTGAGTGAAATATTGAAAAAGAAAATTAAAACAGACATGCGCGTACCTGGTGGATGTAAGAGTTGAGGGGATTGTAGTAGTCAAACTCGTTGCCTTTGTATTGAAGTTGCTCATACAGGACGGCGTTTAAGGCAGAAACCACCTGCCGCTGGAGATCAAAGTCTTCTACGACTAAACAGTCACCTACAACACAGACGAGATGAAACTTCTTTAGACTTTGGCTCAGAGGGAAATGTGGATCTAGTGCAGATGTACACAGTGAATTTGGAAGTTTTTAGTGACTTGTATCGACGCATTCTGGAAAGAAAATGAGGAAGAAAGACGAGAACTTTAGTCCGAGTAAAACGACTTTTCAATCCTACTTTGAAGTGCCCACCTTGAGCGAGTCGCAGGCTGGGGTGAGACGGGTTCTTGATTCTCAGCATCTTCTTAACTTTTTCTGCGATCTCATCCACCTGGGCTGATATGCTCTCCAGTGTGACATCGGCCAGCGGGTTACAATACTGATCCACCAGTACGGCACCTGGAGGGGCGGGAGAGGCAAAGAGAGGGGATGCATGAAGTGAAGCTGCTTAATGCACAGAGACAAAGATACGAATCAAACGACAGAATCCTGCTCTTATACTAATCAACACAAACTCACTCGCTGTGAATTTCCTGCACAATATCCTGCGGCATTCTCACATGGGCTTACTCAGAGATTATCCAGATTTCTTACTAGGGGGCGGTCAGGAAAAACTCAGGAGCAGCTGACAGATTTGTGTTCTCACAGACAGCCCCTCTGGTTAATTTAAAGAGGAGTTTAGTTCATTTCTGACAGCAGCTTATGATTCCTCACCTTCCAGAGCCGACTGCTGCTCCACAGGCTGCTCCAGGAATGTCTTCAGACTCCTCAGGATGTTCTGCTGTCTCAGGAAGTAAAGGATTTTCTTTGCATAGTACTTCAAAGTCAAGCTTTTCCTGATGAAGGGCAGAGAACAGCAGAAACACACATTCAAGGTCCAAGGACAAAAGTGTGCAGCACAACAGCTTTTTATAATCGCAGAGGTCAGTCTCAGGGAGGATTAACAAGAGATAAACACCCAAATCCATTAATGATGGCAAAATGCAGCGTCTGTGTGTACGTTGCGTTGTGTGTCGGGCACAGTGTGGCTCTCACCTCTTGTCAGAGTTGAGTATGAAGAGGAGCTCGTCTTCACAAAAGTGCTCTGGCATCCCGAGCGACTCAATCTCTGCAAAGCTGTCTCCGAGCACCTGGCCAACGCAAGGCTGAGTTACAGATCTCTGGGTTAGTTTGGAAAATGGAAAAGCTCACGGTTTATCTGCACCAACACGCAGCCACATCAACAAAATGTCAGCCAATCCACAGAAACACAAAACAATCATGTATGTTTTGATCGAATGGTGCATCTGAAACAGAGTCTGGTGGAACAGCGAGATAATAATGATGTATTCCTGATTACCTCCACCAAGGAGGCAAAGATTCAGCCCCTGTACGTTTGTTTGCTTGCCAGCACGATCGTGTGAAAACATCTGAACAGATTTTCTGGAAACTTGGTAATGGATGGGGCAACTCTAACCCTGACCCTGACTTGTCACCAATTTCCCAGAGAATCATTTATGGATCTTGATGAAAAAAATCAGACATGTTAAAAGGACCGATATCTTTGAGTGTTTGTAATTTGGAGCAGCTTGATTGGATTTAAGGGAGCTGTTTGGCGGAGGTATACGTTCTACTGAGTCCTATTCTTCTCAACAGATTTCAATGAAATTTAATGGAGAGGCTGATGTATGACCCACAGAAGAACCCATTAAATTTTGATGCTGATCCAGATTTTATTTTCTAGATAGATTGGCCATGTTTAGGGGACTGATAATTATGAGTGTGAGAGAGAAAAAAAATCAGGATCTAGTGAATTTAAATGTGGTTTCAGGAGGAGAGTGTGGGGCCTTGGCGGAGGTATACACTCTACTGAGTGCCATTCTAGTTCATAAATTACTTACAACTTCTGTAAAGAACCTCTTCGAGATTGATTCCACCGTCCTTCTGATCTGTATACCCACTCGATGGCGAGTTTTGTACTCTTTGAGCCAGTCGCAGCACTCGTTCTGACGGTAAAACCTCTGCAGCCTCGGCCATCTGTTGATGAAGGCAGTAAAACTGGTGTTTCAGTAACTCTGGGGACATTCACAGAAGAACTTCAGCAGCCTGTCGCCTCAAACACAACAAGACTTGTCCATCAAATACTTTAAGTCTTGTGCTGTCTGATAGAATACAACAGAATAATATTAAGCCTGGAAATATGTGTGAAAATAGAAGTATAAAGTGAATAGCAAATGAAAGACAAATATAAAGTGACTACCCAGTAATGCGGAGTCAGTGTCTGATATTAGAGAACAAAAGTAAACACACACGTGGCAGTAAGTAGAAAGGAGAAGAGGAGAAAGTAATATGGGATGTTGCACATGATATCATCAAATCACTAAATGGTTCCTCAATTCTGCATCTGAAGTTTACCATCTGAAAGCAATAGTTTCATAGTATTTTGTATTTTTGTGTATTTTAAGTAGCGTACATCCTATTTGCAGAAGTTTTTACTGTATTTATATGTATCCTGTTATTTATTCTGTATTTGACGACCACAGATGAATGTTATGTTTTATAGGGAGTGCGAGGTTTATGTGATCTGTTGTCAATTCTGATTTAAGTGGCACTAAAGTGTTGAATATTGACTCTTGCACATTTCTCTTTTGCAAAAAAAAATAAAAACGATAGTAACGTGGAGCCAAGTGAGGCAGGAGGAGGGCTCAGCTTTTGGCAGCAGCTGTAAATCTCCTGCGTTCAAGGTCACACAGAAAAAGGATCTTTCTGGGTTCAACCTGAGATTTGCTGAAGCTTTGACTCGCTTCAATCAGTTCAGCCTGCAGCTCGACACCGGCCCTGCTTGTAGGATTTGGTGCATGAGCAGGACGCCAGCGGCTGACCGCTTCCTGAGAGCTCGAACACAGCGTCGACACGAGCAACCAAACATTTCGCTTCCACGTGAAACAGACACACGGGCGGCAGAGAGAGCACACAGCACGAACACGAGCACCTGAGTTTGTACTGGTGTCCCCAGACCTTTCCCCTCCCGTGGCAGACGTCGTGGAGCCGCTTGCAGCAGCAGGACACGTTGCAGACGTCCCCGTGCTGCAGGACGGGGAAGCAGAGGATGTGTTCCAGCAGCTCGCTCGGCAGGTCGGTCAGTTTCTTGTCGCGGGGCTCGGAGATAATCCCATTGAGACTCTGCTGCGCGTCTCCGGCTACAGACGTCGCCATCTTTTCTGTTTACCCCGATTACCTCATTGTCCTGGCCACGCCCCCTTATGGCGCAGGGGGCAGGGCCAGGGGGGCGGGCTGTGCGGCGTGAGGTGTTCTGTGATTGGTCGATTCAGTCCGAGGGAAGGCGGAAGTGTTGCTGCCTTCAGGCACCTCTGAAACTTCGACAACTGAGTTTTATTCGTTGGGATAGATTTTGTTTGGTTTGTTTATTAAAATACAGAACACAGTGAATTTATGAAGCAGAGTACACTGCAGACATTTAAAGAGGTAAAAGAAAACTTTACTGGTCAGGCAGGGTTTTTTTCTCTGTCACTTCCTGTACAGAATATTTTTAATGTGTGACGAAAGCAATTATTATTATTATTAGTGTTGTTTTTCGACAATGTCTCAAAATCTGACAATGAAAATGCACAATTTTATGTTTCAATTAACTGACTCAATAAACATGATCATGATAAACATTGTTTTTGGGAACAGTGTTCCACTGTAGTATGTGTGTTTAAGTGTGATAGTTGTTGTATTCGATATTTTTCTGCTGCATTTCGTAGATTATTTCTTTTATTTCATTCTCAACACTCATATGGACCCACAAGTCTGAATGAAAACATGCCTGGTATTATTATTATTATTTATTATTACATCATCACAGCCTTCAAGAAATTTTTATTTTAGTTTTCTGTCCAAATCATTAATGTTTGAAGTTTGTGATTAAAGTAAAAAAGTGTTTGATCCACTCAAACCAGAAGCAGCAACTTTTGCAAAGAAAACAGTGACTATAGTTTCCTTTAACAATGCCTCAAACGATTATTTGATTTTTAGCTGAGTATTTTCTGTCAAGTGATTAATGCGTCAACCAACAAATAATGATAGCTATAAAAATAATCTTGCACCTTTAAGTAACGTAATTTCTGAATCTTTTTGTTATTTTTCTTTATTTTAGCATCAAATGTCCAAACAAAATGAAGTAGAGAAAAAGCAGGTAAATCTTAGTTATTAAGGCAATGAAAAGCCATTAAACTTGAGACAGAATTTTATTTTTCTTAGGTTTTTTTTTGTTTTCTTCTAGTTGCTGTTACACTGTTATTACACAATCCCGGTCGACACCTGAACGCAGCATTGCCTTTGGGCTAGCTCACAGATGAGTGTTAGCAGTTAGCTTCTCTTCAGACCTGTGGCGATGCGATGCTACAACCAGAGTGTTTCAACCCTCCACGGGGGGACCTGCTGGATTTATCACTTCGTGGAAACGCTGAGTTATTTCGCGGTTTAGATGCGAACAGCTGCAGCCGAACACAAGAGCTAGCATCGGACAGGAAATAAGTTAGCTAACTTGATTTCATTTAGCTCGGAGTTAGCATTAGCAGCAAGCCTGGGAGTCGTTAGCACTTTTGTAAACAAAAACTAACTTTAAAAGTACGTAGAGCGAATAAAAGACAATAACAAAGCAGTAACACGTGTAACAGGTGAACTTGTAACAGAAGTTGTTGATCAGGATATGAGGTGTTCCTCTTCTGCAGAACACATCAGATGACTTCTCCGTCGCCTTTAAAGAGCAGCTCGTGGGAGTTCAGTCACTGAGGCGCTCAACTGCTCATCATGGCGAGTGCTTTAGCCTCCAAGCTGGGATTGAACTCCCTGATGAGAAAACAGAGCAGGAACTTCCACGTCAGGATCTGCACGATGGAGTCAGACATGGAGTTCAGCTGCGAGGTGTGTATCTGTCACACAACTTTGATTGTTCTCATATTCAAGCAAACACCACAAGTGTATTGTGAGCACAGCACCAAGTACACACATGTTGTTCTATTGCAACTGTGTATGATGTAGATAGATAGATGTTTACTTAACTTTAAAGTACATATAGTAGCACACACTGTTGTTCCTCTATTGTAATTGTGAGATAGACAGACAGACAGATAGATAGACAGATAGATAGATAGATAGATAGATAGATAGATAGATAGATAGATAGATGATTTATCCAAGCAGCCATACTGTAAAGAAAGTACAGACATACTAAAATAAAAGAATACACAGTTAAATCCAACACATTCATCAGCCCTGAGATGATTAATTAGGTTTTAGTATGAATCTTAAATCTTAATACAATCTGTAACAAGGTAAATACATAGTAGTGCTGGAAGATAGGGAAACAAAGTATTTTAAGATAAATAATATCAGTTCATTGTGAAGATAAATGTCACATTATTATTATTATCTTAAAATTTAAAGACAGGTTTTTGCTCCTGAGTTGAGGTTGTGGTTTTAAACTACACTTTACCAAACAGTGAATAAGTCCCACAGTCTCAGTGATATATGCTTACACTCGTTCACCATCTAAAAATGCATAGTCTTTAACGTGTACACTCTTTCAGTATGCTGTATAACACTCGAATATACACATGCACAGGTACATATAACCTGGTTACTACTTAAATTATTGTTTCTTTGAGACTATTTTTTATCGCACTACTTTTATCGCAGTATATTGTTTATTTTTTACACTTCTCTTAACTTAATGTTGACTGTTTTTTCAGTAGAGAAATGCTAAATCAGAGTCTAATTCCCTGAATGTGCCAATGAAGCTAATTGTGGTTCTTTTTATCAACAGAGAATGAGACATTTCACAAATCTCTTAATGCTCAATTGTGTTATTCTCCCTCAATGTGCTAAAACAATCCATAAGCTTAACATCAATATATATTGGACCTTATTTATATTAATATTGATGAATTATGTTGCACTTATTACTGATAATGTTTTATTTTCCAACCTTAGTACAAAGTTTGTATCACGTGAAGATACGAGTTTCTCTTTTCAACACTAGATGGCAGCAAATAACTTTGAGCTGTGCTCTGCAGCTTCTGCATATGTGTTATAATTTATCTTTGTCCTATGCAGCAATGGAATCAGGAGGATTATTCAGTGGTGAAGCCCAATGCAGTGTAGGACTTTGCCGAAATGCTGCACAGAAAAGTGTGCATCACCAACCCGACAGTGTTAACATGAGCATCATGTCATGTTTGGGCCGTATACATTATATTCTGCCTTCTCACAGTATCTCTGAATGAGTATATGACTTGGTTGATTATACACCGGGGCTGAAAGCCATCAAAATTACTTGCAGGCACCGTCTCTGTACTTAAAAAGGGAGGAACCCTTCTAAAGTTTGCAGTTTGTAATTACACGAGCAGCATGATGCTAGTTTTGGGTTTCTATTTTCTGTGCCGGGGTGATGATTTGATCAATTATGGGTTTTTGTAAATAGCATTTATAAAAAGGTGAAGGTCATAAAGACAACATATTCATTCAGCCTTGCGTGGGACTTTACGATTGGCTCCAGCTGCAAACCCTGCTGCATTGTGGATACTTCACATAGTTTCTAACGCCAGTTTTTTTTCCCACGCCAACCATGAATACTCTTGACAGTAGCTTGTACCCTGATTTATCTCCGAGGCTGGAGATGAAAGCTTTCTAAATTGGATATGTGGGCCTCATATGGCTGCAGCATAGAGAACATGTTTTGCTCCTAGCTTTGAACCGGAGACAGAGGTTATGATAGAAATCCTGGGATGTCTGGATCCAGTAGACGTTGCATCTTATGAATGGTTTTCAGTCTTCTTGAATATTTAAAAACATCAGGGAAAGTCGGCGCATGATGTGAAATTTACTGTCAAACTTTTGCTCCAACGGGTTGAAATTTTGATTTTAGATATTTTTTTCGTATGTAAGTATGTTACTCTACCGAGACTAAAACATTTACTCATTTCAGTCTAAGTGGAAAGGAAAAGACCTTTTCGACATGGTATGCCGAGCTCTGGGACTGAGGGAGACGTGGTTCTTTGGGCTCCAGTACAACATCAAGGACACCGTTGCTTGGCTGAAGATGGAAAAGAGGGTAATTTATTCTAATATCGTACCCCGTTTTGTTAACAGCCCTGAGCCATGTAAACATCGTTGCTATTCAGTAAGTGTAGCAGCCATGAAAAGGAAATGGTTTTCCCTTAACGCTTCTTTTGGTTCACTGTCGCAGGTTCTGGATCAGGAGGTGCCAAAGGAGGAACCGATTACCCTCCACTTCCTGGCAAAGTTTTACCCTGAAAATGCTGAGGAGGAGCTAGTGCAAGACATAACACAGCATCTCTTCTTCTTACAAGTAACTATACAGAGTACACACCTCCTGTTTTCTCATTCTGGTCATATTTAACTTTTATTTTCTCCATTCGTCGGTTAATCAAATCAAAAGTGATTACTTGTCGTCTTCCTATCTGTTGCACTTGCGTCTATCAATCCACAGAGGCCTTATGAGAAGGTTCTTTCTAGACTTAACCCGAACATTGACTGACACCATCCCTCATTCTCTGTTGCTTCCTAAGTTGAAATTGCCACAGGCGCACAGGTAAACCTGAAATCCACCATGCCTCCCAGAGGAAGCTGGATTACTGTCTGGCTAGTGGGCAGACACTTAAAAAAATCTCTTTTCCTTTGATAATAATCTTCCTGAAGTGGAGCTGAGCTTGACGCCTTAAGGGAAAACACACTTTGAAGCGAGTGTGATCTTTTTAAGGCTTAATTAGTCAAAAATAAATGCTTTAGAAAATAAGTTTATAAAATTGCGAGCCCTCACGAGCTCTGTGAATTTCTCATTTTTCACCCTTGCTCACCGGGGATTTGGCTCACGCTCTCTGTATCTGTGGCGTCCTTACTGTTCTGATTCAGTCCCAACAGGGGGCAGGCGTCCGCACTTTCCGACTTACACTTTTCTCACTTTCTGTGCCCGTCTGATTGTGTGCAGCCATGTGGAATCAATGCGTGACATATAACCGCTGCCCTTTCTCTCCACTTAATACTCTCCGGGGGATTCCTGTGGAGCCCGCAACAACATTCTGCTCGCAAGAGATGAGATTTGTAACTGTGCTCCCGTCATCCAATACTACGAGCCACATTTATCAATTACCAATTAGGCTTTAAGGAGCTTAGTTATTGGCTCAGTTAATGCCATATTCTCCATGGGATGCTCGTCTTCCACAACACTCCCTTCACACTCCCAGCCCATTGTGCTGTGGCTTCAGACAGCAGAGCGTCTGTGTTGGATTTTGGGTAGCGGCACATGTCTACTTGAACTGGTGTATCTGTGTCATTAATCCGTTTAGAGGCAGTCGAAGCAATTTATTTATTTCAGAGGGAAACCGTGTTTAAAAAAAGACTCTAGCTGACAAATTACTCAACAGTTCAAGCGATTCAGAGCTACAAGGGGGAGCGAAGAATACAAATGTGTAGCGCCTCACATCGCCTGTCTCCTTCTAACTTTGCTGTCATTAATTCCCATGATGTCGCGAGCAGGCCTTCATTCAGATAGCGTCACAGGCACGATAGCAGGATTAGTGCTTATCAGAAATTATCACTGACCCGGTTACATGCGTGCAAACACACACACACACCTCACACACTGACAGACGCTCTCGAGTCTGTTACCTCGACCTGCAATCTTTGCAACAACACCATGTCATTTGTAAACCAGATTGCAGCTCAGCCTCTTAGCGCTCACCCCCGATTAAGGGGCTGTCACCTCTGGCTCCACACCTTTGTTAGTTCAAAACACGAGAAGACAGCATGACTGGCTTTGCAAATGATAAGGCTTGAAGCATTAAATTGCTCACTTACATAACTACAGCAGAAGCATGTTTGCCCCATGGAAGCTTGAAGGCAAGATTCTAACAAAAACTGTGCTTTCAGCTCCGCACAATTTTAATTGAGCAAGCTTACAATCCAGCTCTGTGCTCTGTATGTAGTTAACACGAGTTTGGGATTCAATTAGTTTGACAGGTGACGGAGCTCGGGAAGTGACGCCCAGCGAGAAGTGGCACTTTAATCTGGAAGGAGCTTATTAAAGGGGATTTCCACCTTTAATAAGAAAACATATTATTACTGTGATCCCTGAAAGTTAAGGCATCACTTGTAAACATAAGATATAAATCGGAGAATAAAACTGTGAATTCACAAACATAAAGTCAGAAATCCTGAGGGCTTAGGAATAACAGAAATTGTAAGAATGGGCGGTTCTCGTTACGTTATGAGCTTTTCTCTGACTTCCTGTCATTATGCTCTGCTGACCAGCGAGCCGAGAGTCTTGGAGCAGCTTAATGATCATATGAAATACTGTTTGCTGAGGTTCATAGTTCCTGGCTTGGTTTCTAATAGGTCCCCATGTGGCTATGATAGTTAACTCTTACAATATTTATGTGGTACGGTTTGTCCTCCTTCCAGTCCCTTCTGAACTGAGCTAGTGGCAGTGTTGTGGAGCTGTGGTACCTGCATGTTTATTTACCTGGTGTTCAGCGCATATACAACTTGTTCTGTGGCTCCTGAACACTGTGTTTCGGCTGCAGGTGACGCTCACAGAGTGGAATTAAGGGAATGAAGTTGTGGCTGTCAGAAGCACAGTTGCGTCAGAAAGTGGTTTGAGCGTGAGCTGTCACTCTCCTCTGTGAGATATCAAGACTGTTTTCATTTAGCCTGAGTCAAGTTTGATCACTTGTCCCAAGAGTCGTGTTCCTCCTGTGAAAATCAATATGAAAGGAGGAGTAATACTCAAGCTACCACACAGAGAAAAACTTTCTGTCCCGATTTACAATGTAGGTATTAGTTCTAACCTTACTGGAAATGTCCTCCATGCTGCTTCAACATTTTACAGTGAAAAGCTTCTAAAATTCAACAAATGGCAGAGAACATTCATTAGCTGCATGGTTGATTCTGAATGGATTTCTGTGTTGGGTGGAATGACGAGGGCTTTGTTTTCAGGTGGTTGCACGCATAACAAAATTAGTTTGTGTCTCAAAGCTAATTATATTTGGCGTCTTCTCAGGTAAAGAGGAGGATCCTGGAGGAGGAGATTCACTGTCCGCCCGAGGCCTCCGTTCTGCTGGCATCCTACGCTGTCCACGCCAAGGTTCGTGCTTTAATCGAATTTCAGTTTTTACTCAAACAAGATCCTTCCATCCATTCTTCCATCCATCTGTCTGGGTTTCATTTAACTTTTTATGCATCCTTTGAAATTTATGTGAACAAATGGTCGGCGTCTTCTCCTCCACACATATTTTTAAATTACTGGTCTGAGATGCTTAAAGTTGTGACTCAGTCACTACAGCTCTAAAAAAAAAAGCTGTGAAGACACAGAAGTCTTTCAGTATCACATTTAACAAAGTGGGTCATCAAATCAGTGTGAACTGACTCAGAGAATATATTGGCCCATCTGGAACCATCTTCAACTGAATCATTAACTACACTTTATGCGGGTGCAGACGACTAGGTTAAAAAAAAAAATCATGATTAGCTACTGGGCCACATTTATTAATTTCTGGGAAATTGAGGAGCATTTGCTGCAGTTGTTCGTTATCTGAAACATGTCACATTGCTATATAAGAGTGCAGACTGCATGTTTTTGTCACCTATGGGCTTGACTAGTGTAACCTCCACCCTAAAATCAGGTACAGTTGAATTAATACAGAATCTGAGTCCTGATAAAAAACAGAAGAAGACATTACTTCACCGGCTACACTTGGTATTGATTTTTTAAATTTCTCTGTGTTTCCCAAAGCGCTACGGGGCCTCGCATGAAATGTCTTTGATAAACAAACCAGGAGTCTGGGTGCTTAGGAAGAAGCCTTTTAACTTACTGTTTTAAAACGCAGAACGAACAGCTCTCCCAAAGCAGCAGCAGCAGTGACCCATCAGAGTAGCCACTGAGCAGATCTGCAGGAATAAAATCACAACTTTACTCTATGAATAAAATATCACAATGTCATTTAATTAACTTTAGGATACAGTAGCTACTGAAGAGCATCAAGTGGAGGAGAGTGTCAGGTTAGTGGCCTCAGGATTGCATCTCTGCTTTCATCTATTTATTCTGAGCTTCAGACATTAAGCAAAGTGAAGGAGGTTGGGTATTTCTATAATAGAGCATGAAATTGACAAAGATGATATTTGCAAAGTCGGCAGATGCGCATGCATTTAACCAGACTGTTATGTTAAACTACTTAATTGAAAATCAGGATGCTCTGGATAACACATGGTGGTGGTGCTGTGGTGCAGGGAGAGAAAGTCACGAATAATCCACAGTGCCTGGAGCACATTAGATGATGACCCAAGTGCTAATGGTTGAAAGTAAACAGTCGTGACAAACAAAGCATTGTTTGATTTAATTTTAAATTACTTTAATAATCAGAATCCACAATTATAACTCAGAACAGCAGCGGGAAATGCTTAGAAACAACATATAGCTGCAGGTATCTCTAAAACAGAGGAGCCAATAAATGCAAGAATCTGATGTGACAGCTGAGCCCAGACTGTATGACAGTACAGATAACATTAAATATACATATACGAAATGTATTTACAGACCTTTACAGTGGAGATGCCCGTATCAGTCTGAAACAATCCTACTCTGGTAAAATCCAGCACAAATTCAACCCTGAATATCAACACATGCTCTATTCCACACCAGCTGAGACAGGTAACGGTTAAGATTTGTGGGCCTGGAGGCAGAGAATTATAAAATGGGATCTATGCAGGTAAGCTACATGTGACAGTTCATTCAGATAAAGATTTCATGTCATATCATCCAGCCCGGCTCAAAACTGACCTTTTTACACTGGCTTGTACCAAGTGTGTGTTTATGATAGTCATTTGACATTTGGGCTACAATTGTATTATTAAATCATTATTGTTTGATTCCCTTTAATCCTCATTTGTCGTGTTTGTTGTTTTCATTGTTTAGCATTGTGCTATGCGTACGTCATGAGCACTACAAGCTGCCTCATCCTGAATGACAGGAAGTGTTTAAAAACGTTGATTGGTTTACTGGATGAGGATCGAACAGTATGTGGTGTGTGTATATAAATCTCTCCACAGGAAGAGGGAGCCTCTTAATAAACCTTCAGCGATCTCAGTCGTTTTGGTTGAAGGATCCCATCTCTCTGAAATCCTCAAGAAAAAGATACTGAGAGTGAGTGAGGTGCAGCTTTTTGACAGGCAGACAAGGTCCAGTGAGACCGGGCGCGAGCTACCTCAAAGATTTGGCCTGGCGCCCTCAGAGACTCGCCTTTCCCGTGCCAATTTACAGGCCCGGGATAAAGGAGACTATATGGATCAAGAAAAATCAGCAAATTAGCTTGAGACTTGTGCTCTCTGCTGTCGATCTGAAAACAGCAAAAAACAATATGTGGCCACAATCTGTTTCCATTTAATCAGCGGTCTACTTTGATTAGAGCCACTGTGAGTAAATTGGAATTGTAAAGGGAAGACAGGTTCTTGTTTTGCAGTGCAGCTGCTGAGAGCTTTTTGGCCGACTGTTCCTTTCTCCTTTGTCTCATCAGGACTTGTTATTGTGCAGAACTACACTGCAGCCTGTGATGTGGAGTGAATCCCACAGTGGGATCTACTTTGGTATCCTGACTCATCTTTAATCATTATTATGCCGACCTAAAGATAGCAGCGCGGAGAGAGTAAAGGCGCATTCTCGATTTGACTGTAATGTCTAAAAGAGATTTTTTGTGAATCAGAGCTACAGGATGTTCAGATTCAGGTGCGGACAGTTGCCCACATTGTTGATTGTCATATTATTCACAATGGATGCAGTAGGGAGCAATAACAGCTAGAGAGCGTGTGAAGAGAAGGATAATAGAGATTAGGGAGAAATGTGTGTTTACACATGTACTCTGTCTTTACAGAGGGAGCTTGGACACAGATAAATGCATAAGGTGTCGGTCCACCACCAAAAAATAATGGATAAAACAATAATAAAATAGAAAATACATTTCCTGCTGCATTATTTAACATCGGAACTTTATGTAAAGTTTCCTTTATGTGTTATATGTTACAGTCTTTATGACGTCTACTGTTATATTTGTATAGGAAAAATCATAAAATACAATATATTCAAACGTACAAATCTTTTCCTGCTTAGATAAAGACTTTATTTCCTCATTGTTATTAATTGTACATAATCCCCATGTGTGTGTGTGTGTGTGTGTAAGTGTGTGTGTGTGTGTGTTATCCTAACTGTTCAGCCTCTGCAGAGGTTTTTCACGACCTCCTGCTTTGTATTCTGAGCGGGTGCCGTGCTGCAAGGAGGCTTCGATGGGGAGTTTGGAGAGAAGGTTGCTCTGCTCTGGAGAAAATGCAGAGGGAGTCACTGTGGTGCAGAGAATGAGTCGGGAGTGAGGTGAACTCCCTCAGCTTCTCCTCCACTGGGGACTTTCGATCTTTGTCCAACCAAGTGAGGAGGATTAAACAAACAGGCATAAATGATACTGGAGGGAGTCGTTGTGTTAAACTGAACTTCTGTGGAAGAAGCCTGACCAGTACTACTAAGAAAAAGTCCCATTTACTAATGCCTTTCACTGCTGTGTGTTTTATGCCTTGATATGAGAAACCTGTATTTCTCACTACTGATTTTCCTGAAAGTCCCTGGAGTGTGTGAGAAAATACGTTTCCTAGATATAGAAAGGTGGATTTATCGAGCAGAATATATCCATTAGGCGGTGGTCACTGTTGTGCTGCCGGTGATAATGTTAAGTGAAAATATTGACACGTAGCTCTCCTCAGAGGATCGATTGTTGCTGTGAGTTTGGGCTTGTTTGAAATAATTGGAAGAATGGTCTGTAAGCAGAAAGCTTCTGAAGGCACTGTCAAAAAAATATCACCCCGTCTCCCTGAGTTATACCTCCACGGTATATATATGATCAATTATATAGCAGTTACAAACAAACAGGTGAGGAAATGAGGGAGGTAAAGCTGCGAGGATGGAAACCGAAGAGAAAAAAATCTAATTAAATGCCCCTTTGCCTCTCCACTACGTTAGCCAAATGCACCAGTTACAGTCGGGCTTATTAAATTCTGGTCTGTCCAGTACTGTTTTCAGACTTGTGTGCGCAATCAAATAAAAGCCCATAATAAAAATACCACTATAAACACAATATAAATGTTAGAGCCACGAAAATGGTCACAAGCGTCTAATTTATTCTGTGCAAATGAGCCACTGTGTAAAAAGTCCTCCATAAAAGAAAAATGAAAAACATTTATGGACTTAATGATGTATTTTCTATAAAACCCTTGTGCCTTGTAGCATTAGAATACTTGGGTTTGGTGTTGGTCCTTTCCCTTGTATGTTTGAATATTTTCTGCTCCTCCAGGTAATTGTCCAATTGAAGATAACACAGCAATTAAATTTGACTTCAAAAACACTTGAGCACCAGCAGAAGGGTCATCTCCGAGAGGATGTCCGATTTTAGCATCAGACTCAAAAATAAAGAGAGTGTATTTATTTCTACATATTCTCCTCGGGTGCTGTGACATTTTTACATTTTAACCATAAACTCACAAATAACACAAACAAAACCAAATATATAGAAGTAGAATTAAAAAACAAATTGGCAAATACATACGTAAGTGTGTGAAAGTCTCATGTGGGCTGGTTTCTATCAGCCACCATCAGTCGGACTCTATCTTCGATGACCTCCTCTGATTTTAACAATAAAATACCAATTAAACAAATCACAATGCAAAGGAAAGAAACAACTGATTGTGATAAAATCATGTAGCAGTGCACAGGTATAGGTAAATGTCCGTCTTAACCTACTTCCATAAATCTACAGTCATTAACTGTAGCAGTATGTTTAATTCATATTCCTCCTCCAGTTTTGCAGGAGCTGAAAGGAAATTCCCCACAGCCACTCAGTCATGCCTAATCCATTCATATCGCTCGTCAAACATGTGTGATATAATTTGTGCCCCGGCCCTAAGATGATAAGTGATCCGTCTCCAGTTCTCTCAGAGATATTTCTAATAGCGTCATTTATACTGTCTCGCAGCAACTGGGCCACTTGGTGTGCGGTGCACGTTAATGACCTGGTGGCAGAGCAGCGGCCATTCGTTCGCTAAGAGACGCTTTTCTCACCGCTGCTGTAGTTGCATCTTACAAACGGCTCCCAGGAGAGACGTGGTCTGGGCTGTTTTAGGCGGGAAGGTGGATGGTGGTCATTAGTTTGGAGTGATTAATCCCTTTGGCACTTTTTGCTCCATTTTATTTCACAGTACGGAGACTACGACCCTAATGTTCACAAACCTGGCTTCCTGGCTGAGGAGGAACTTCTGCCAAAGAGAGTGAGTGACAGTTGGGTTTTACTTATTATTATTATTATTCATGAATGATGTTTACATCTTGGTCTCACCACCCAGGCCTACACCTGCAGTAGGATACAGAATGCAGCACTGCAGCATCTACTGTATTTTCCTTGTGCATTCATGGATATTTATGTCTGTCTCTTTCCATTTCAGGTGATTAACTTGTACCAGATGACTGCAGAAATGTGGGAGGAGAGGATCACAGCGTGCTATGCGGAGCACAGGGGCAGGACAAGGTAAGAACTGCTGCACTGAACTGCACCACTGAAATTCCACTGTCATCAGCACAATCTTGAGTTTGGAGTTCACATAGCGTGTGTTTAAAAGTTCTGCAAGAAATGTTTTATGCAAAACAACAATCCTTTTTGGCAGCGAGATGCAAAGGGACTCACATGAAAGTTGTTTCTGTGGGAAAGTTATTTGAAGGTGAATTAATGAACATCATAAAACCTTTAGTTCACAGCTTATTATCCTATCAATTAAATGTATTGATATTCACAAGAGACATTGTTTGATTCATGTGCGGCAAACATAACGTCATGAAGAGGGCTGCAAAAATTACTCGTGAATGAAAATCTGTGCTTCTGTTGTTGCACTGTTCCATCATTGTGCTGAACAAAGGTGAAAGTGGGTTGAGAGTGAAAGTGTGAGGGATGTGGAGTGTCTTAAAACCCTGTGGGTGGAGTGATTTGGGCTGGAAATTGAAGTTGAAAAGCCAGAAGCCTCAAAAAAAGTTAATAATTGAGTCACTGGTGCTGATCAATAATCCTTTTCAACCCCGGCAGAAGGAACGCAGTTGGTGGTCCTCACACCTTCAGCATTTCGATAGTTAGTCATGTGGTGTAGCGTGGCCACAGGAGGGAGGTCACTGCCCTAACGCTGACACTGTAAGAATAACCTGAGTTGTGACACACTTATAGTATTCAGGTTAAATATCCAGCTCCAGGTGACATCATACATCTGTATTTTGATCTATGTTATGTTGGAATTTGATTTTTAAAAACATGATCACAGCACAAAGTTTTTGAAAGACACTCAAGGCACTTCTGTGCTTTTCTGCGTGTTCTTTTTTTATAGGACACAGCTCTATTGGCTTTTTATCATCACGTTTTAAATTTCCCCTGACCCTCAGCATCTACTCAGTGTCCAACCCAGTTAAGATTTGTTTACTTGGCATAATACTCTCCTGCCTGTTTAATCTTTGATGAAGCTTAAATCATCAATTTTTCTACCACCCATATCAAACAGACACTTATTAAAAGTTAAGGCGCCGGGATGCCCTGGTTTCTCCTCAGCCATCAAAGTATGCTAATGTTCTTTACTTTTTTTTTTTTTTGCTGAATTGACCCTGAAAATACAACAGATCTGCCAACCAGGCCTCGGAGAGGGAGCGAGAGAGAGGGGAAGGAAATTTTGTTTTTATGGTTTATTTTTCTCTATCACAGTATTTAAAGAATCTGAGGCATCGTAAGAAGTCGTCTTTTCCATCAAGCATAACCTCTAAATCCTATTAGCGAATTATATTTGTGTTTCGTGTCAGTAGTGTGCTCATGTTTTCACCCTCACAAGAGCTGTGTGGCTGTTTCCAGAGATCACACAACATGACAGATGCTACACACAAAAGCAGAGGAAACAAGGTCTGATCTCCCTTTTCTCTCCTCTTCTGCACCTCCTCTCCTCCCTTCCTCCCTCCTCCCCTCTCAATTCCCCTGGATCCCTCTCAATCTCTTTCTCTCTCTGTCTGTCTTTGAACCAGGGATGAAGCCGAGATGGAGTATTTAAAAATAGCTCAGGACCTGGACATGTATGGCGTCAATTACTTTTTAATCAGGGTGAGCCTATGCTGCTGTGCTGTATCGTTACAAAGTCAGTTTCCCCATGGTGTTATGAAATGAAGTCTGACTCTCCTGTTGTAAATTGATCTTTCGTTTTGAATCTCGATGTGTTTTTTTTTTATCAACGGTTGCTGTTGGACACTGGATTTTTCCAGTGATAACAAAAACAAAGTAATAACTCTTAACAAACAGACATTCACTTGAGGTGACGCTGGCCTTGATCGAGGAATTCTCTAAAAGGCCAAGACATTTAAAAATACCACCAAGGTAACCTCAGCTTAAGTAATTCACTGTAGCACTACTGTTCGAGTAAACAAGCCCAGACGACATATACACACACCGCAACTGGCATTGTTCAAGCTCAGCTCCAACAAATAGTTCGGGGCAGGTAGAGTCACGGTAATGCCACCTCTGTCAAACACACGTACAAATTAATGTCGGCTGGAAAACTGCTCACTTGTGCCCTTTGCTCTGCGGATGTGATTTAGAATAAAAAGGGAACAGATCTTCTTCTGGGAGTGGACGCCCTGGGCCTGCACATCTACGAGCCGGACAACAGGCTGACGCCCAAGTGCTCCTTCCCCTGGAATGAGATCCGCAACATCTCCTACAGCGACAAGGAGGTGGGAGATTCACGACGGAGATTGGTGGAGTAGTGCTTGGTAGTGTTTAAGATTAGGTTAATAGGAGACTCTACATTGTACATAGGTGTGAATGTGAGCGTGAGCCTGTTTGTACTGACCTTGTTTTTATTTGGACCTTAACTCTAAGATTCTTGTGTTCTCATTGTTTAGTTTACCATCAAACCTCTGGACAAAAAGACCAATGTTTTCAAGTTCAACTCTTCACGGTTGAGAGTCAACAAATTGGTGAGTTCAGCTGAAACTGCTAAAGCTGTTTCGAAGGTGACCAGTGGCCAAATACTTATGGAAACTTATGTCATTCTTGTTATTTGTTTCTCTTGTTCAGATCCTTCAGCTGTGTATAGGGAACCACGACCTGTTTATCCGCCGGCGACGGGTAGACTCGCTTGAAGTGCAGCAGATGAGGGCCCAGGCCAGAGAGGAGAGGGCCAGGAAACAGGTACTGATGATGGAGAAGTTTTAAACTCTCCACGTTCTTTCCCAGTATATCATCTTTTTACTTGCCCACACTCCGCCTGTCTATGTTGCTAAGGTGGAGAGGCAGCGTCTGCAAAGGGAGAAGCAGCTGCGGGAGGAGGCAGAGCGAGCCAGGGACGAGTTGGAGAGGAGACTGATGCAGCTGCAGGATGAGGCTCACATGGCCAACGACGCCCTGGTAGGACTGGATTAGTTAGCTACAACCCAAATCCACCACTTTTGTTGACTGTGCCTCGTATACAACAAAGTATTTTGTCAGATTCTTTCCCTTCATTGTCTCTCACTGCTGTCTCTTCCCCCTCCATCAATCATCTTTGCTTCTGCCATGATTTTGGTATATTCTCTCTCTTTTTCATGTCGTCATTCCATCTTTATATTTATCACTTTCTTTGCCCTATTTTAAACTTTTCTTGTTGCTTGTCTTACCTTTTTGTGCCCCCCCCCTCTCTCCCGGCTCCTCTCCAGCTGCGCTCCGAGCAGACGGCCGACCTGCTGGCTGAAAAGGCCCAGATCGCGGAGGAGGAGGCCAAGCTGCTGGCCCAGAAAGCTGCCGAGGCTGTGACAGAGATGCAGCGCATCAAAGTCAGTGCCATCCGCGGTCAGGAGGAGCGCCGGCTCATGGAGCAGAAGATGCTGGAGGCAGAGATGCTGGCTCTCAAGATGGCTGAGGAGTCGGAAAGGAGGTGGGGAGCGTAGGAAGGAGGAGCAGGTGGTTGAATGTAGAGAGTAGAGCCATGTGTGCTGCAGTCAATATACATCTGTTTAGCTTTGGACACTAAGTGCCTTTGTCTTTGTTATCGCTAGCTCTCTCTTTGGATCCATTACACACACACACACACACACACAATTTGAAAAAACAATTTCCTCAAACAGAATAAGTTATTTTTCAGAGGAGCCTCAAAACAGTTGCTAAATAACTTCCTCAGCTCATGAGCTAATTTTTATGAGCTGTGTTCAATGTCAAGGTGCACAAACATGCAGCTGCACAACAGTTAGCTCAGCAGCTCAGGAGTCGGTCGATATGCTCCGAGTGCAGAGCCACGTAGCTCAGCTGCATTTAAACTGATCAAAGAATACGAACTTCTAACTTACTTCAAATCATTTCATTTCGAAAGCTTTGTTCTTGCGCTGCAGCTGAAAAGCAGGTAATCAAGCGGTTACAGCCACGCTGCAGCACAAAGAGGGGAGAAATCTTTTGTTCAGCCGCCCTCCCCCTTAGGTGTGAGGCACAGAGGTTAATTCGTGTTAGTTAATTCTTAGCAGCAGTATCGATTGAAGATAGGAGACCCTATCAAACAGTCTCTCTCACTGCACCCTGAAGCTCCACTGTGCTTTTTTGCTTTGTTTTTTTAAAAGGGAAAGTTTGTGATTTTTGTTGAGTTGTTTAAATCAAATGCTCTTTTTGATAATCTCTGTAGAGGTCAGCTGGTTAAGGAGATTAGGCCTTAAAGAGTGATCGTCAATCAGAATTAGCACTCTGCTGAAAGATGCCAATCATTGTAGAGAAGAGCTGAAGTCATTTTCATAATAAAAGACTACATATAGATAGAATATCACTTCACAGCCCCTACTCCACAATTTATTAGGCAATCATTTCAAATGGGCACCATTAACCACTTGCCAGTAACTGCAATTTCTGGATGAGCACTTTTCGGCAGCAGAGAAATTTAAACCTGTGGCACTCAACATGTAAATGACTACGTCCACTCAAACCCTCGAGGCACAGAGCTCCCCCACATCGAAGAGGAACTGCTGAGTGTTCAGGAACACAATCAAAAGAAACGTAATCATCGCCACATAAAATATCTTGCAACGATGTGCGAAGGCTCGATGGCGCTGTAATGGAGTCAGGAGTGACTGTCTGATGGGGTGATACATTTGATCACTTGGGTATTAACAAAGTGACATTCCTGGTTCATTGAGTGCTGATGTGTCGATCGTTTTGGATTTAATTTAGATAATTCTTTGAGGGACCTGGAGGTGAATTAAAGTATTAACTGCATCTGTCTGTGTGTGTTTGTCCCTCAGGGCCAAGGAGGCTGAGCAGCTGAAACAGGACCTGCAGGAAGCCAGGGAGTCGGAGCGCAGGGCAAAGCACAAGTTGCTGGAGATTACAACCAAGGCTGTCTACACGGTAACCATTACCCACACACACAGACACATAGTAGTTGAATCAATGAAAATTATCCAGTGAAATAAGCAAATATCTGTTGATTACAGCTCCTCTGCTACAACAATTTGCTTAGTTACCAGTTTATCGGATGAGGAGAGAGGGCGGCAACAATTATTTTCATTTTCAATTTAATCTATTACTTCATTTCTATATTAATTGGGTTTGTTGAACACCTGGAAACAGTGAAAATTGCAGCTCACAATATCTCGGCGTCGTCTTCAAAGGTCGTGAAACCCAAAAATATGATGTTCACTATTTTGAATAGTCAATTTTGAGAACATGGAATGATTAAATTGATGGAAAATAACTAAAAGAGTTGCTTCATAATTATCTTTGGACTGATACTACACATTCTACACATATTATGTAGTACATGTACACATATCCCGTTGGGAGTATCTGTACATGCGGTCGTGTTTCATAAATATTGTGCACTTTCTCATGGGTGATACGAGCGGCTGCTGCTGCTTGTATGAAAATATGTCTTAGCTGTACAGGTTTGACAGTTTTATCTTGACTGCTAATAGCACACACACACACACACACACACAGTCACACAAATACACACACTGGCACATGCAATTGTAGCCACAAAAAGCCGCACTGAACAAGAGATACTTGCATAAGAACAGGCTGCACATAAGGCCGCCCACGCAAGAGCATGCAACATGCAGAAAACCCACACACTTCATGTTCATCTGCTCACAAACGTGCACACACAGACGTACATTGAGATTCTGGACATCGACAGAGAACTGTATTGCAAGCTTATGAATGAAAAGCCAAAACACACACACTAGTGCGCATACATATTAAAAGACAGATTGCCACTGGATCTCTAGTGTACGCTTATCAGCAGATTGGTGAAAACCACACAAACACATACACACTCACGATCGCACCAGCACACAATGTTCTCTCTTCCCATTCCCGTCAGCCTCTGATTGCCCTCCATGCTCTGCCAGACCGCGTTTACGTCGAATATATCCTCCGTGTAGTTTAGATTCACGTGCCAACAAATGGATTTACATTTATATTGTGTATCAGGTCCATTTTTTATCCAATCCATTTGAGACATGTGGCCTGGATCTAAGGGAATATATTTCTGTATTCACGGTGTGTGACCATCAAAATGGTCATTCTTTTTTTCTCTTCCTCCGACTGTTCTCTCTATCCTAGAGATATACTGGTGTACATCTGTACTTCCCTTGATATATATATATATATACTACTATTTTCTTTCTTCCTTTTTCCTCGATTTCTATTTCTGTCTTCAAACTCTCCACTATTTTCCCTTACTTTTCCTTTTAATATTTTTAAGTTCGTCTTTGTTGTTTCCAATTTTACTCTTTATTTTTGTGTTTCTGTGTGTCTGCATCTCTTTCTCCCGTCTAATCTCTCCGTCCATCCTCTAGTCTCCTGGACTCCCGCCCGACAGCATGCCTCCCGATCTGAGCTTCAGCAGAGAGAACCTCAGCTTTGACTTTAAAGATACGGACATGAAACGCCTCTCCATGGAGATCGAAAAAGAGAAGTGAGTCACCGTTCGTACCTCGCTGATGCTGCCTGATATTCTGTTTTTCTGGCATCAGCAAGTTTGAATTCATCACTCTGTGGTTACCTGTTGTCTGATTCCAGTGGTTTCGTTGTGTCATTTTAATTCTTTAGCAGAAACATCTCTTTACATATCCTCAAAATAGGTTTGAGAAAGATTCAACTTTGGAAAACACAGTCACGTTTAAATATGTACATTTTAATTCAGGAGTTCAGGTCAGCATTGACCTTCAGTATGAGCTGTCACTGATGTCGCTGCAAGCTCTCAAGCATTTTATTTCCCCTCTCTCGCTGTGTCAGTGATTGCAGACAGGAAACTGTTTAAACGAGTATGACCCTGGCTGTGGAGTTGAATAATTACCTGGGTCTTCATTGTCATCTAATGAGGTACTTAGGTTAGCAAGTGAGCGGAGAGACGACGGGTCCACTAACTGGTCGTCAAACTTAAAGAAAGACTGTGATTGAATTGGCAGATGTATATGGGTGCAGCAGTGACTCAGGAGATGGAGCGGGTTGTCTACTAATCAAAAAGTTGGAGGTTCATGAACTATGAAAAGAAATTGACCAGAAAAATCCTTTTGATGTGTTGATGTTTTCCCCTTTTATTAGTCTTTCACAACCGACTGTCATTTTGAATAATCTCTCCAGTCCACCAGAATTACAATATCCAGGACATAAACAGACCCATCAGTCCATGTAATTAGTAATTTACACATCATTTTATAATTAGCACCTGGTCCTCAAAATGGCACATTTCTCACAATTTTGTTTCTGACCGGAACATGTGAAATGTAGATGAAAAAAAAAGTGTCCATGGGGACAAAAACAACAAGAGCAGGAAGTGAAACCTTCCTACCTACAACCTGTCTGTGTTAAGGGTCGAGTACATGGAGAAGAGCAAGCACCTGCAGGAGCAGCTGAACGAGCTGAAGACGGAGATTGAGAGTCTGAAGCTGAAAGAGAGAGAGACTCCTCTGGACATCATTCACAACCAGAACACAGAGCAGGGCACGAGCAAGCAGAGCAACTTTAAAAAGGTAACTTCCAAATTATCCTAAAATGTCTGATGCAGCTAATAATGATCTTTATCTATCTCTCTACATACGATGGTACGACATTCCCCAAACACAAACCTGAAACTTGAGATTTTGGGAACATCCTGTCCAACTTGAAATTTCTACATTTCAGCAGTTTTAAAAAAAAATATGCTGGGGTCTGACATGTCTGCTGAAAGTAAAGTTATGAAGAGGAACCCAAGAGACAACTGTCAGCAGGAAATGCTACTTCCAGCTGTTCCTTAACTTCTCCTGGTTAGACGCAAACCTGCAGTGACTGCAGCCATGTGGTGTTTCATTCACAGGGACACGTCCTCACTCCTCTTGAATTTAAGTACCGATATTTGAAGAAAATTACTGGCTCAGGAGCTGAGGTTGAAAAAACAAACCAGCCAATAGCATTTAAATTCCTCCTCCTGGGAGTCTGACTGAAAAGAAAGCCGCAGAGACGCAGTGCAGCTGCTTCCTACTGTTGCTGCAGCAGAGAAAATGTATTTGTGGGTTTTTTTCCAATTCAGTATTTGAAAATTTGAAAACCTGGGGAAAAAATGAGTTTCTCAAAATATAAATATATAAAATCCTAAGTGATTTATACACTATTTTAGCTTTAATCATCTGTTTATGTCGACGTGTGAAATAATTTAAGAGGTGGAGACCAACACCTCTACTTAATTCATCTCCATTAACTTCACAAGTTTTTATCTCACCAAATGATGTCAGCTCAGCTCCAGTTACACGAAGCTGGTGAAGTGTGAATTCATACTGATCTTACATCATCTACTCAGGAAAACTGTCAAATGTTTAAATCCTCTCTGGTACAACACTCACGTCTCAACCACCATCTTGTCTTAAGGCTGGGTATTGATTCAGAGCATCACTCAATAACAACGGTCTCCACTTGGGCCCGGGTTAATTTTTCAGCCACGAGTTTCCTCTTGGATGACGCCTGCTGCAGGAGGGGAAGCGGGCAGCCATGATTCATTCTCTGCCGTGACCTCTACAAGTGCAGAGTGATTACCGCTCTTATGTGTATTAAAGGAAATAGAAAACAACTGAGAGGGAAATTAGTGTTTTTATGCCTCCGTGCCGGCAGCAGTAGGGGGCTGGAGACATTATGTTTTCAGGCCCATCTGTCTGTTCCATTACGAAGAGCGTGATATCTCAGAAAGCTTCATATTTGGCACAACTGTTCACTTGGACTCAAAGATGAACTGATTAGAATCTGGTGGTCAAAGGTCAAGGTCACTGAGAGAAGTACGAATGTTCACTGAGAACAAACTTTTTTAGCCTTTTAAACATATCTCAATTCTGTCTTCATCAATCAATCAATCAAACTTTATTTGTATAGCACCTTTCCTACTGGTTGGTACAGTTCATAAGCCAAGAATTGACAAAACAATTGAAAATGCTGAATGATGAAATTCAGCAAAATCGATTTTAAAAGTCAGAAAAACAATAAAAGAAAGAAAAGTGTGGGATTGAAAAAACACACAACAGTGAGAAAGGATTTGATAAAAATGTAAAACTTGCTTGAGGCTTGAGGGATATTTTAAAAATCGATTGGTCAAAGGCAAAATGAAAACTGTCATAAAAAGTGGATTCTGTTTCCACTGTCTTATGATGAACTGGCAGATTAGACAAGTTTCCCTTCATCTACCCACGCTCTCTCCAGTTTCTGTAAAAATCATCCATTGAGAATTCGAGCTGTTTTCAGCACATTGTGTAAGAAAAAGCCCGCCCCTCCTCCGTTATGTCTCCTAGTGTAAAATATACTTGTTAAGGGAGCACTAATTGATTTTTGCCTGGTGATCAGTCATTTGGATGGATGGGGGCACTTCTAGCATGCAGGAGGGGAAGGGGAGCGAAGTTAAAAGTGTTGGTTTAATTGAACCAGAGGCGGCTGGCATTCATCTTATTAGTGAGGGGAAAGGGTGAAAGTTGGGGGGGCGGGGGGAGCACACAGCACTGCAGAGAGAGGGGAGGAGAAATCGAGAGTGAGGAAACTTAGTCTACCGTGCCAAAAGAGATGTGAAGTTTTCGAAAGGCTGAGGTTGACCGAAAATGTTCAAAGGGTGAGGACTTTAAGGGAGGCAGAGGCACGGAGAAGTGCAAAGATTGCACTGTGAAGCTGGTGAGCAGGATGAGAGGAAGGGGGAACACGGTGGGAGGAATAAAAAAGGGTCAGAGGGAATTTGGAATGAAGCACAGATTTCGGAGCCAGAAGCATCAGGACCGGCTGCACCCCCCCAGGAGCGAGGCTGTCCCTATCCAGATTCCCCTCTCTCCTCTCTGGATGATTAATGAACAGCCTCTTAACACGGCCCAGCGCCTCTGCACATCCACCAGGCCACAGGCTCTGCTCTGCTGGCCCCCGGGACCCGTCAGGAGAGCTCATTCGCAACAACTGAATCACAACAACGGCTCTGGTTCTGTGTAAAGTCTCACAGAGAAGAAAATGCTTCTTTTTTTAAACATGTGACAGAGAAGGAGTTCAACAACCGGGGTGACTCTGTTGTACCATTCAAACCATCAACCATCCCAACGTACACGCCTAAAAATCCCATCACGTGACCGCTCTCCTACATGTGTAAACAGGAAGGCATGCACGTGCTGTTGGACACGTTTAGCATTTGGTTGTTACTTCCAGAACGAGCTCTTGAAAACACCCAATCATCAAGCAGTTGCGTCCACGTCATCATTCCCACACATCTCAGTTTCTGCTCGTCCAGATTAAAACGCTGCACCCGGAGTTTTCAAACTGAAACACAGCCAGAGGTTTTCAAAATGAAAAAGTATTAGTGGTGTGGATACAGCCTCAGTCATAGATGAACACAAACCACGTCTTTTATACTTTATGTCAGCGGGGACGATAGAAGGTGATTGGTAAACATTAAAAACGCAAATCCGTCCCTCTCCCACACAGTTTTCTGTTTGGATTTGCTTAAGTCCTCTGATATACACATTTCCCAGAAATAACCTGGATTTCACTAACCGTCCTCCTTCATCCATGATATAATATTTACTCTGGCAGCTGCTGCTTTAATTCCCCTCACCCTACTCATGTTGAGGACAGGAGGAAAAGTTTGCCCACCTGATTGAAGTGACACTCTTTGCCGAGGGAGGTAAAAGCACAGCCAGTGGCCCGAATTAATCCATCAGCAGCTCATTTAAACCTGGAGAGAAAAACAGTTAACGGTGCTTTCTCTGACTGGCATTGATCTCCTACCTGCCCTGCTCCTCCTGTCTCTTTCATTGATCTCCGTCAGAGTAGAGAGTCTGAGTAAATCACAGATTTCTTTCAGGGCCCACAGCGAGACTGATTTTGCTTTTCAGTTGATGTAAATTTGAATCGGTGTAAGATGTATCAACAACACTGCATGCCGTCACATAACATCAGAGATTTATTACAAACAGTAACCTTGGGGGTATGTTTTCAGTAAACACAGCAAAGTGCACAAACACTCTCCAATTATCTTCTCCTTGTGATCACTTAGTGTTTTGATTATTCAAGGGAAACGACTCAAATGAGGGGTTGTGGCAGGATGTGCTGTTTTTAGAGCCTCGTTGAATTTACACGAATACCAATCCATAGGAAGCTTTTTCAATATATTACAGGCATGGATGAAACTTTGTTAGCTGTGTAGCACGACGACAACACAAGAGGCACAGGCACTCACAATGGAAGACTTCTCAAGGAGCAGCCAGCTCCTCACCACTGCAGGAAAAAAGTTTCATCCAGGGTTCCCAACAGGTTGTGGATGCTCGACTTAAGCCTTTCGGGACACGTCTGGATCCGACAGGCCGGGTCGGGTTTGAACAAAAACTCACTGCAGTGATATTTGGATTTGGTTTTGGGTTGTCCGCATTTGCCAGGTTTATGTATTTTTGACACTGCACACGTCTGTAATCGGGGGAAACAAGCAACCGGCGACCAAACTTACAGAATCCAAATGGCTGCTGACAACCAGGAAATTCTAAAAGCTAAGTTATGACGACAAGCTTTCACCCAGTCGGCTAGTTAAACATCCACACTGGTTTTAATGGTTCTCTCAGGTTGTAATCTTGAGCCTGACTGAAATAAACCCTGTTGTGTTGTTCTCTCCTCCACAGCTAACACTACAGAGCACCAAGACCAGAGTGGCCTTCTTCGAGGAGCTTTAAAAAAAACATGCCGGTGAAGGTGAAGGACGCACAAACAGCCATGAACCTCTCGTTTCTACATTCCTGGTCAGTGTAAATGACTGACGACACTACAAGGCCTTAGTACTTCCTGTGAGCCACTACGAAACACTCAAACAAATGACCACTGCCTTGATCTGCGCCAACTCTCATCGCATTTTATTCTTGTGCTAAATCTGGGATTTCTATTTTTAAAAATGTGTGTTTACAGTAATTGTGTGAAAGACAGAACATTCCCCTTTTTAAACTTTGAAGTGACCTCGGCTGTGGGCCTTTTTTAAATTTTTTTTAGCGTTGGAAAAGGTAGACAATGCAAAAAGGGAAAAGAAAAGAATCGTGTGATATGATCTTTGGCGGCTCTCGTTACTCTGTGGGCCTAACGAGTCTGTATCTGTGGAGATCACAGTGGTTATTGTATCATGTTCAAACAGGCTGACCTACATTCTCTGATTCATCTGTTTTGAAATTCAAACAGAAACGAGCCACGAAGGGATTAAGTTGAATAAGTGTAAGATATGTACTTAGCGTGTACGCTTGACTTCCTTCTTCCTAAACACAGACCATTTGTCGCATTCCAATTTATTCGAAATGCCAATTTCCTCCATATAATATATAAAATATTCTGTCTTTGCTTAATGACCTCACGTTGCCTTAGCTCTGTTGTGTCAGTGGAAGCATTCAAAAAGAAAACACAGCGCATTTCTTTGCCATCGAACATTTTCAGAGCCATGTATTGTTAACGGCAGGAGCGGATGGACTGTGGTGAAATGTAGGCACAGTGTTAAACAGGAGGCCTGAGGACTAATGTGTACATCTTGAACACACAGAGACGTCACGTAACATATCCGTTGCTGCCTCCAGCAGTTATCAGAGCGCACTACGCTCCCATCTCGAAAGTGGAGAGACGATCATTTGTACTTTGTGTTTCTTAGAATCTGAACTGGATGAAGGAACCGGGATATTGTTTTTTGTAGATGTGAGCTTATGTCACGTCTGACATCGATCTCATTTTAATGTGTGAAACAAACCACTTTTGAATTTGCATTTATTTTAAAATTCATGTGTCTTTCTTGAATTAATGTACTCTCTCCCTTTTAAAGCTATTTTTTTTGGGGGGGGGGAATTGTAATGTGAAGACATTTTTATTTTTTCTTTGTCTACTAAGAATAGAAAGCAGTATTTAAAATGAAACCTGTGGTGAAGTTACATATTTCTACATAAACCTTGTGACAGAAGTGTATGTTGTTCCTGTAAAATAAATGAATATCAGGTCTGTGTGTGTGTGTGTGCACGTTTTTTCCCCGTACAGAAATAACACTGTTAGTTATTTTGGCAGACTTTGATGAATGTCAGCTTTGATTCTGCCGGTGCCAAGAGCCTCTTCCACCCGACCCGAACAGACATCCAATTACACCTTTGAAATGAATCAAGTGTTATGTAAGCACCCTCCATCTTGTGTCAGATCACATACCCTGTTTGCTTGAGTGACAAGGTCTTTGTGTTTCTGCTTGTGTGCTTTACGTGTGTGTGTGTGTGTGTGTGTGGGCACGAGGGGTGTGTTGCATGCCCCCGTGCGCTCCTTTTGTGTTGTTTGTCACCACGTTAACCCTTTAATGTGAGTCTCTACCCGTGGCTTTACGTCCCTGAGACTGACTTGGAGAGTGGTGCGGGGGGTCAGGGCAGAGGGGGGAGTCGGGCTTCTCCGTCACCTCTGGGCGCAGCTGGAGAATGACCACCCATGGTTTTTGTCAGGGTTGTGACAGACAGACATGTTCGGGAGCCAGCTCTCCCTCGAGGGGGGCGGGAGGTCTGCAGGGGCATCAGGCAAACCGACAGACACACATCTCCTTCCCCTGCTGCCGCCCACTCAACGCTGTCCTCCGAAACCGAGGAGAGGGGAGAGGCGACGAGATAGGAAGACTCTTTTGTCATTTATCCATTCTCAAGGGACGGCAGTTGACGTCACGCCTGCACACGCTGGTGCACACAGAAACACACTCGTCTCGCAGCAGATTGGAAAAGGTTCTACGTCGACCGCAGGGCGGGAGCAGCACCTGCCGAGGGCTTGAATATAGAACAAGCGCACAAACACACAATAAACGGGAAAAACCCTCGTGTCGTTATCGGGGCTGAGCCTTTATTCAGAGACACGATTCAGAAAGAATGATGTCGTAACAGTTTTATTGGCTTAGTACAGTCGCCAATAAAATCTCCTCATGCCATTTTACATTTGACTGCACAAGGAGGAACCTTTACACCCAAGTGACTCAGAACATAAAGGCACTATGTCTTCATTAAAGCCCCCGAATGAATCTAAACCGTCAATGTTCCTTTCAATTATGAATTTAAATAGAAGTTCAATTACATTCTGCTGGTATATGTATTCATTGTACACACACACACACACACACACAAACTGTTTGCAAACAGGACCCACATTTAAATTGTACTGCGTCAAATTCAGCAACGCCTCAATCCACCACGAACACACACTAACTTATAGCAAGCAGCCGACTCCAGCACCTTTTTTTTTGCCATGTGACATTTGCCCTGAAGCATGCTGGGTACAGCAGAGTTTCCTAGAGCAAATACCAGGAGTTCCTGCGGCAAACAGACAAACTTTCAGTTTCATCAAAATGATTTTGAAGCCATTATTCTACGGTAAAAAGAAACTACATTGTGTTGCTCCGTTACTTAGATTGAGTTGCTGAGTATGATGATGGTGTGTGCAATATATAACTCTCAACGCAACTTTTTATACTTTGGCTTCAGGTTTACTTTACCGTCACCCTGAGCAAACACTCGTGCACTGTTACCAGTATCCTACCTCTTACATATTCAAATATACGTGAGGTGTGTACCAGTTCACGGTTCCACGCCGCTGTGACGCAATCAGTCTTAAAATGCAGCAAATCGTTACCACTGCTAATGTTCCTGCCCTCGGATGACCAGTTCTAATTAGTAATTTACCCAACCAACTTCTCAGCAAACCTTTCACCCACATTGCTCCATCTCCGCCCCCACCTTGTTGCACCAAAGCCTTTTCCTCCACATCTGCGGTGTCCTCCCATGACATTGTGAGCTCCACGGACTAAACCGTCCATTGTGTGTTTTATCTGCCGCGGCTATGGAAGGGCTCACCATTTCCTGTGGGCTTATCAACCACTTCCTCAAATATACCTCCGTGAGCTAATCTCTTCTCAACCAAACCGGTCCTTTAAAATGTGCCGGGCCCAGAAATCCTGCGAGTCGTCTTCTTTAATAGCACTTTGGATAAATGTTACAATTCATTCACACCAGATGAAAAATTAATCTCTATTTGCTCTCACTTTCTGCTGCTGGGTGGTTCATGTTGCCTGGCTTATCGTGCTCGGACAAACTCAACATAAAGGACAGGAAGAGACTTCGCTTATCTGTGGACCGACTTTTGTTTGAGTGATTCGGACGGCAGGAGATTTTAAATGGACGTAACCTGAAATGTGCTAAAATCATTGCTAATTCCATTTAATCTTGTTTTCCTTGTGCCGCAAATCTGATTTCAGTCCAGTTTCTTTCACTTCACATTCACGATTCATCCACTGACTGAGGGACGACCCTCACCTGCCTGTCTACTTCCTCCTGCTGATGCACTCTCTCCAACACCGGCCCGCTTGTCCCTCTGGGAATTTTCTCGGCAAAGGTTGCCCTTTGTGTCACCCCGTTCAACCCTGTTCCTCCTCTCTTTCCTGTTTCACTTTCCCTAATATGACGGATAAAGCTGCACTTGTCTCCTGAACCTTATCGCTGAGCTCACCTGCATGGATTTAAATTCCTCTTCAAGATACAGTATGTAGATAGTGTCCAGAATCCTCCGTGACTTCTTTGTGATAAGCAGTCTTTGTGTCAGGAGCCACACTGGCCTTAAAAAATTGGATCATGGCCACGAGGTGCTTTAACTGTTATTCACCCAAATGTTGTAGAAAATCTACTCGTGTAGTTTTAGTTGAGTGAAGTAAATGAACAGAGATGAGGGATAAGAAAACTACGAGATGTTTTTGAAATGGTCAAATGAATGTTTTCAGACAGTTCACTCGTCTCTAGTCCGCCTGAGAATAATCTCTTGAAAGCCTGATGTCTCTGAGGCTGAGTTCAGACCAACGAGGGTGTCAATAGATCGTCAGTCTTATCTTTTCTTCAACGAACGACAGGGTCAATAAAGCAGAGGATCATATTGTCCATTAAAACTGGATTTATTTAGGACTTTTCCAGTCAGCCTCTCAAACAAGTCACATTCATCCAGAGCTTTTTAATCACATGCTATTCATGTTCTGTTGGTTCAGCCTTTCAGAACCTTTGCCCACGTTGCTTCTCCTTCACTCGTACTTATTAATAAAAATAATAATAATGATAATAACCTATGAACTGCGTCGTACAGCCTTCAGTGACCTGTCTGTTCAGTTCGATCTGTGTTTTAGGGTTTTTCAAAGTATTAACAACCATCGCAATGCTTCTAAAATGTCAATCAGTCAATCGCATTTTATTTTATTCATTAGGAGAAACTATTTGTACCATAATGCAAAAGTGTGTCAATGTCTAAAGTATTTATACATAAGAAAATGGTAGAATATGTGAGCAGACATTTTTATATCAAGCAGTATTGTTGTAATCACAGTCCCTGATCAGCTACGACTACTATCTACAATCCAAATAATTCCTACTGTGTGTGTGAGTGTGTGTGTGTGTGTGTGTGTGTGTGTGTGTGTAACCAAGACAAATAGAAAAGTGTCCTGCAGCATTGAACAACCTTCTGTGTCTTTGTAAAATATAAAGTAGTTCAATCTGCTCCACATGCTGCGAAGTCGCTCCTCTTCAGTGAGTCGTCTCTGACAACACACTGAAAGCCTGGACTATTTTTTTTTTTTTTTGCAGATCCGAACCTTCCTCGATACTTGATGGTGAACAGCCTCATGAAGATGACCTCACTTCTCCAGCTCGACTGACTGAAGCTGAAGCCAGATCACGCTCGTGCACTCCGAGCATCTGAAAACACCTGATATTCCAGGTTTCTGCTCCGGTGCATCAATTAACTCCCTCGAGCTGCCGCTAAGAAACTCTTCACCACGAGAAAGCAAATAAGCACAATCTTAACGGCATGTACAGATGTTCATTCATGGAAATATGTATGAAGGAGTGAGGTTTTTAATTTCCTGCACAAGAATCTGAATTAAGGCGCCAAACGTGGGTTTTTAGTCGTCGTGAAAGCACATTAGGATTTTGGCTTGTGAACAAACAGACGGCAATTTGAAACATCATCTGAATGTACACGTGTGCACTGTACCTGCGCTCCTCTGTGAGTAATAAGCACATTTATCGGTATCTTGAGCAGATTTGTCCTGCCAGGAGAATCCATTGACTCTTTCATTATGAAACACCTAATCAAAGGGGTGAATCCCCCCACTCTCCTCCATGTGTGGGGGTGAGGTGCGTCAGGCTGCCGGCTCCCGTGGGGGGGGACGTATTTTATCCACTAAATATTCAGCACCAATCCTCTTCACATTGCTTCTTTCTGCTTCTCTTCATGACGCTATTTATTTGATGGTGCGTCACCTCACCTAACGCGTGTGTTTAGTGTGATTACATTTCTCCACTCCCCGGAGACCCTCTGTGTGGTGGCAGGGGGGGGGGCGTATAGGATTTGCAAAACTTGGAAGCTGATGCCGTTGCTGCATCAGGTTGCTGGCTTATGTGTATTTCTCTCAGATTCATGCACCCACACTCTTGACAGACGCACACTTTCCCCCACACACATGCACACAATCACTAAATCCTCCCCGGCCCTTCCGGCCAAATTAGGATCCTCTTTCATTCCGGGATGCAGATGTCTCTGAGTGAAATACCTGTGGAGAATCACCATGATTGGGTTCATTATGTTTCCTGCAGTTTGCAAGGGTGGAAATGAGTTTGGTATTTTAGGCTGAAAAAAAAAAAAAAACAACCTATCAGCTAGTTAGACTGAAAGAAGCGCTGCCGCCTGTTTCGGTCTCAACAGCACATGATGAGGGGCTATGAATACATTTTCTCGTGACCTTGAGATAACGACGAGCTCTGTTTTAATTGTCTCACTCCATTATAGCTCTACATCGTGATAGATGAATCATCATCAGCAACATCGGTTCTGCCTTCGCATCACTTGTGTCTCCTTACATCTGCGTCTACTTCTCCGTCTTCTGTGGGAGTCGGTGGTCTCCTCAGCTAACCCCCCCCCCTTCACACCGTCCTCTGCAGCAGAGGATA